GCCACCCATTAGCTCCGCCGTTGCACCTGGTGGATAAAATTATTAGATCTTGTTTCTGTTTTTCTTTTACATTTTATACTTTTGTTGGATGTAACTGGGACCCTGCAATTTCGTTCCACCTCATGTACCACATGTGGTGCGTATGACAAATAAAGATCCTTGAATAAATAAGGGGCCAAGATGACGTAGAGGTTGGGTAGCTGACCTGGGACCAGAAAGTCGCAGGCTCAACTCCCCGCCATGCCCACATGCCGTGGTGTCCCTAAACAAGACCCAATCCCTAATGCTCCCCAGGCGCCCACATAGCTGCCCACTGCTCCACCTGGGTGCATCTCATATGTGATGGGTTAAATGCAGAGAAATAATGTAATCATTGGGAACATACAACGATGACAACACATGGCACTTTTTTATATAGGGAGAAAATATTTACAAATAAAATTTCAATATTTTTTTAAAGTATAAAAGTTACAAACACCCAATAATAATATAGCACCCATCACCCGAAGGAGCTGAACATTTGAATGTTTGAATGGCAAAAAAAAAAAAAAAACACTAAAGTCTGAAGAGGTAGTTAGATTGCAAATAAATGGAAAAATTACACAAATAACACAAGAAATCAATAGTTCACACAAGTCAAACATTAATTGTTCACAACCTTTCCACGGAGACTCACCTCCAAACACCGGAACAATTCGTTTAATGTATATTCAAAGGTTTGTACGTCGGCTGTATGTTTTAGCTTATCGACGGTGAATTTCAAGGCGTGCCGGCGCAGCACTTAAGCAGACGTTCAATTGGGGTGGGGGTGCGGGGAGGCAGCTTTGATGAATTATTTATGATGAAAGCAGGCACTAATACCTAAATCATTCATAATTATTATGGAGAAACAAGGTCGATGTCAATCAAAATTCAATTCCTCTCCCTGCAGATTGCGTTCGTTGACGTTGGAAAGGATGTAAATGGAAGAGATGTTGGTGCGTGTCAGAGATCGTCTTGGTCCCCTGTTCAATCAGTGAGAAAATAAATAAATATCGGCCTGTCTGACAGAATGCAAATCACTATTAAGAGCGAAATTCAATAGCTATATGGACAGCTTGATTTTTTTATTGTTTTTCATCTTATCTTAATCAAAGTCGTTATTATAAAGCATCAAAACGATGATCTGGGAGTTGACTATATCCGCGAGTAAATTTTAATTACTTATTTCTCCACCACCAGATGAGCGCAGATTTCGGCTGATTATGAAATAAATGTCTGTGTGTCTATCTGGAATTAGATGCCATTTACATATTCTCCCACCTTGTGATCAAATCAGTTTCAGATATGAAGCGAGGAGCTGCTTTCTCCCATTATTCGGGTTTGTGTGTGCTTTCCTCTGTCTGTTAGCATAATATCTCATTAACCATTAAATGGATTTTATTTAAACTTGCAGAAAGTAATCATTGCATGCACATCTAGAACTGATTAACTTCTGAAGTCAGCATGAACCAAAATAGCAGCCATGGCCAACTCACTTTAAAAGGACAGTTTTGTAGATAAAAACCTAAAGTTTGTCGTAGTAGATACGGATCAATAAGCTCTAAAACCTGCATTAACTATGTGAAGTAAACCGTGTCTGTTAGCAAAATATCTCAGGAACTACGGGACGGATTTCAATGAAACATGCAGTAAACGAGCAGTACTCTGTCTCCCTTCGCTGAAGGATTTGAAAAGTGAATGTTTGTAGTTTTGTTATGAATGTTTTTTCTGGACTGGAATTGAACAGGGAATGCAAGTAAACCTTAATGTTAATCAAGTGGGTAGGAGTTATATTGTTTAAAAGGTACAAGAATAGAGTTTTTTTTGTTTTTTTTTACTTTTCCTAAGTGGCACAGACCGATCCTGGTGAGCAAAGGAAGCAATTTTATCCACCAGGTGCAACGGCGGAGCTAGTGGGTGGCTAATGGTGTCCTTAGCCACCTTAGATTTATTTTCAGCCACCCACTTATTTGAAGATATTATATTTTTAAGCAATATGAAAAGTAGAAAGCATGCCTTGAAATGATAGGGGCGTCCAGTTTACATATAAATGTGGTGGTGGCCATAATGTCAACACAGCTTTCCAAACATTTTCTGTTTAGATGCAGCGACACATCAAAAAGGAAGTTAGCCTGTTGCTTATGTTTCAACCTATCCAGATCATAATGTTTAAATTTATATGGCAACCCAATTTTCGATAGGAAACTTTCTTAGGTCTAGACGCAGCCACACACCAAAACGTAAGTTGGTACCTCACTTATTTTTCAAGTTATCGTGCTCACAACATGCACAGACGGATAGACGAATAGTATTTCCAACTCCCACTTTATGCTCCACCATGGAGGACAATAATCTTTGGATGTACCGTTGTTTCCGGAGTATAAGTCGCACCTTTTTGCATAAATTTGCAAATCCTGCGACTTATACACCGAAGTGACTAAGATATGCTTTTCCCTTATATTTATATTTGTCAGTTTTTGTCTGACATTTGACACTTTCATTCATTCTGACATGGAAAATATTGAACACTACCATTTGTAGCCACTAGAGGCGCTAGAGCCACGAGACGGCCCTCTAGGCTTTCGACAACTACCAGTAGGCGTATCTGTTAAAGCCGCTTCATTTCACCATGTTTTGACCATTAAAGTGCATTTATTAAGGAAAAGTTAGACTGAGACACACCTTTACTATAACGTCAAGCAAACAAATAATTGTTTTTAAGTGTTAAGCTTGTTAAATTCTTGATAAGGTCCCCCCGTGTACGCTCCCGCAGCCGCCATTTGGCAGCCAATCGATTTTTGGCACAACACCGGCCCACGTTACCAGGTTGTCAGCGGTGACGCATAATAGATGCGACTTATATGACGAAACGACGTATTGATGAATTTTTCCACTTTATTAGACGTATTTGGACTGATGCGACTTATACGGCGGAAAGTGCGGTAACTCTACAGCTGATCGACTTTTGGAGCCAATCCAATTCAAGATGGCCGTCACATCCACCTGAACCTAGAAACCACAAAAATGGCTATAACTTAGAGGTATTTAGCTGAGATGGTTGTAGCTGCGAGTCATTCACAACACACACTCTGAGTAACGCGTTATTTTCATGTTGTGACCAAAACGGCTACACCTCCATCATTTTTCTACATTTTACTCTAAAACTCTGGCGTGAGAGGCATTGGGCGATAAGAAGTTTAAAGTTAAACAAGCGTGTTTTTACAGTTTTATTTACATAAAAATTGTCTTTGTTTTTAAGAGGAGAAATCCTCTCCTAGCTGTTTAAATAAGTACATATTTCACTGCTTTGATAACTCTAAATAACTTATTTAAGATAATCTTGTTTGACCACGTTTGACACGTTTTGTAATCAAGGCCCGACGGTTACGTGTGACTCAGGATCCAATAATGTGGTGGACAAATGATGGATCTGCACCTTAAAAGGTTCCTGCTTTACAAATGAGAAATGCCTCAACAGAGGACCCTGGAAACGGTCTTTACGTGCAGGTTTTCAGACCAAGTGTGTGTAAGTGTTTGTCTGCAGGAGTGATGGATGAAGTGGTCAAAGATGGCCGAGTGCTTAAGCCCCCACTCACCTCTGGAAACACACACGCTTCCTCTGGCTTTGAATCAAACCCAGCAAGAGCTTTCTCATCCTCTGGTGTTTGTGAATATAAAGGACGAGGACAGGGAGGCTGAGTGTCCCTTTAACAGACTGCAGGAGAGGTGAGGGGGAGATTAACAGGGGGGGCTAAAACAAGACCATCTAGGGGAGCCGGGAAGGTGACTCAGTCAGACCTGGATCTTCTGCTAATCTACTGGAGCTCCAGTTGCTCCGCTTCTCCAGATGTTGTGCTAATATGGGACATAAAGACGTCACCGTTTGTGCTTTTATGTGTTGCAGCTGGCCGAGCGTGGTCAGAGAGGAGAGACAAAGGCTCGTACTGTTTGTGAAACGCAAGAATTAATTCCAGACTCAAGTTGATCCAAGATGGGAGAAAAGTTATAAACGTATGTAAAAAATTAACAAATAACACAGAAATTACATTTCCTGCAAAAATGCAGTGTGAATGCTTATTGCTGAATAAATTGCAGAAAAACAGCTGAAATTAACAAAAAAAAATCTGAAATGTAGCTGAAATGGAAGAGCAAGCCTAAATTAGAAGCATAAAGAGCACATATTTTGCTCAAATAGATTTAAACAAGCAGAAATTAGCAAAAACAAAATGGAGGAAAGTAGCTAAATAAAGGCTGAAATTAGCAACAAAAATGGCTGAAAAGTAGCCGAAAAGCAGAAAGAAGCTTAAACTACCAGAAAGAAGCAGAAAGAGCTGAAATGAGCTAAAAATAAATGAAATTATAGAAAAAGTTAAATTAGCATAAAACAGCTAAATAGTTGCAGAAATGGCTGAGACTAGCATAATAAGGCTGAAAGGAGCATAACAAGCTGAAAGGAGCATAAAGAAGTTAATTAGGCTGAACGTAGAAGAAATTACCACCAAACTAGAATTAATCAGAAAACAGCCAAAATTAGCTTAAAAAATGCTAAAAAGGTGGAACAAGCTAAAATTAGCAGAAGAATGCAGAAAGAGCAAATGTTCGCCCAGTTAGGCTGAAAAAAGAAATGAGCACAAAAAAGTGCAATTATCTGAAAAAAGCTGAAATTGGCAACAACAAAAAAAGGTGAAAAGTAACTAAAAAAAAAAAAAAGGGCAGAAAAAACTTAAAATAACAGAAGAGTACATTTTTGATGACTTGGGTCGAAAAAAGTTTAAATTTGTGCAAAAAATGTGGAACTAGCTGAAAAAGTTACATTAGCATAAAACTGCGAAATAGTAGCTGAAATGGTAGAAAAAGCTGAAATGAGCTTAACAGAGAGAAGTCAGAAGAAACACAAAATGGTTGTAGTTTATAAACCGAACTTTAAATGGAACCAGTATGAAGAAGTGTTTCATACAAACAAAGTCAAAAGTTAAAGTTTACACTTCAGAGGAACTGGTGCCAACGATGTGCATTAACGCCACACGAGCAAAATCAGTAATGCTCCTCCTGGAGATTGCTGTGATGTGGCTCAGTTCTCCGACCACCTGCAACATATTTAAGGACGTGCAACAACTCACACTCTGTGTGGGAAATAATACAATTAAATACATGCCATGTTGAAATGTAATGCTTTTAAAAAGGTAAATATTTAAATAAACCGTATCTCACCTGTTTCCACTTTTTAAAGTGAAAGATGAACGTTGCCACGGCAATGACACCAACGCCAAGAAGCATGCAGTCTTCAGTCACCGTCACAAACTTCTCTCTGGTTTACCACGTGATCGGTTTAAATTAAAGATAAATAACCATGTTTTATTGTTATTTCTTATAAAAGCAACGAGTGGTATGCTACAAAGAACGCTCTTTGCTTCCACAGCAGCAGATCCAAGTGGAAGAATCTCTAAGAGACGCATTTTAAGCTTCAAAATAAAAGAGTTAAAAAAGGCAACTGGACGTTTCATTTCTTACAGATGTTTTTACTTTTTCTCCAAGACTGCTTTGATCCTGATGGTTGGTTGGTTCAGAAAAAAAGCCGTTTAGATAAAACGTGAAACATCTTCAAGAAAGAAAAAAATAAGAGTTGCTTTGTTTCAAATCTTAGAAATGTCATATATTTGATGACACGAAATACGCCAACAGCTAATAAACACACAGGAACGTAGACAAAACTTAAAGCTATTATAAAAGGTAGACGCTTCTTTTGAACCTTGAAAAAAAAGGAGCTCTGAACAGTGTGAATATTAACAGCTATAACATAAACACAGCCTTCTTATAAATGTTACTAATGATCCATGAATGGGCTGTGAACACATCTGGCTAAAATATGTCTCAAATTGACAGAATAAAAATGTTATGAGTTTTATTTTTCCTTCTGCTTCAACATGGAATAAATCAGCTGTTCCTGGTTTGGCTGTGAGAGCTACAAGTCCAAACAGTTTTCATCTGGTTGTCGGCTTAGTTGTTTTAAGCAGGACTGTTACAGAGACCAGCTGTAGTACCTCTGTTCCCTGGACGGGTTGGCGCACTGAGTGGTGATTCTTAACAAGCTGTCATAGATGGCGGTCCTCTGCAGGGTGATGAACTGGAGAACGTGGCGGCACAGCTGGTACAGGTGCTCTATAGGGACGCTCGGCTCGTTGTGACCTACAGAGCAACAGATTAAAAGTCGCAATCTTTGGTAAACATTTCTAAAAATTACATAAAGTCCTTTTGAAATTTGTCCCTGTTTTTGTGTGCGTCTACGAAACTTCTTACCGAGCACCTCCAGAAGTATTTCCACATATGTCAGAGGGTTAAGGACCGTCAGATTGAATTCAAGGCCTTTAAAGACCATCAGCTCAAATTCCAGGACCGTTTGTTTGGAAGCGCTGACACCAATCGAATGCAGGAAGCGTACAGCAGCATTGATGTCAATCATCTAGAAAAAAAAAAAGGAACCATGAAGGTTATTTACTTGGAACTTCACTGTCTGTTTTTGAAACCCGTCTGAAAACTTATTTTTACTAATTGGCCTTCAACCCAACTGAGACTTGATTTTACTTAATTTTTATTGGTACTGAACTTTCCGCCGTACACATCGCATCAGTCCAAATATGTCTAATAAAGTGTAAAAACGCATAAATACGTCACTTCGCCGCATAAGTCGCATCTATTATGCATCACCGCTGATGCGTCGTGTTTGTTATGTGTCACCACTGACAACCTGGAAACGTGGGCCGGTGTTGTGCCAAAAATCGATTGGCTGCCAAAAGGCGGCTTGGGGAGCGTGCACGGGAGGACTTTAACAAGAATCTAACAAGATTAACGCCTAAAAACAATTATTTGTTTGCTCAAAATCATAGCAAAGGTGTGTCTCAGTTGAACGTTTCCTTAATGAATGCACTTTGATAGTCAGATCAGCTGCATTTCACCTGGGCGGTGCAGCTGATCTCACGTTTGCTCCAGGAGTTCCGGAGGAGATGAAGGTGTATGGCAAGCCAAGTGTCTCATTAATAGCCACTTTTACCTATTAATGAGACACTTGGCATGCCATATTACTTGAGTGCCCTCTAGTGGCTGAAAATGGTAGTGTTCGATATTTTCCATGTCAGAATGAATGAAATCATCAGATCTCAGCCAAAACTTGGTTTATAAATATGGGAAAAAAACATAAATATGTTGCTTTTATGTATAAGTCGCAGGCTAATTTATGCAAAAAACTGTGACTTATACGCTGGAAAATACGGTATTGATTTTATCTGTTTTACTGGTTGTTTTATTGTGTTTTAAATTGAGCTTTTAATTCATTATTGTGTGCTTAGCTATGTCTCTTTATTTTTATGCTTTCTTTTATCTTGTTTATTACTGATGTTCAGCACTTTGTCTCAGCTGTGGCTGGTGTTAAAGCACTTTATAAATAAAGTTGATGATGATGGAACTGCAGACATTTAAACCGGCATAGTGAAACTTACATGACTGTACAAAAACTGCTTGTTCGCCAGCTGCACACAGGCGAAGATGATGAGGGAAAACTTGTCTTTCAGTTGGTCAAAAATCACATCCTCATAACTCGTCGGCTCAACAGCAGTCGCGCCTTCGGGTGGCACGGCGAGCAAATCCAAAAGGTGTTTGGCCATGAACCTGTAGACATAGAAGGCTAGTTACGCATATATAACGTGACAGGCAGAGGAAGCAGAACGTGCCGAGCTGTTCACCTTTGCAGCAGTTCAACTGCGTGGTATCCAACCAGCGGGTCGAGCCCCAGCTCTTGAGTAATCAGGAAGATGTATTCTAAGAAACACAAGATGAATGGTAGCACAAGAACAACAATAATAGAGCTGCAGGACATCAGGAACGCACCTCTCTTTCTCTTCTTTCAGATCAACACTTTTCTTCTGTTTTATTGTCTCAGTTACTGATGTTGAAACTGCAGTTCGAGTCCATTCAACTTGCTGAATATTTTATTAGTGTCCCTTGTTATATTCACAATTGGTGCATTAAAGTCATATAAGCTGTCAAAATGTGATTTTTCAATGCTTTTTTATTTAAATTTTTGTACATTTGTATAATTTATAACGGGGCTATTCAACTGGCGGCACAGGGGCCAAATCAGGCCAACTGGTGAGCTCAGTTCAGCACACCAATGGATCCATTTTTAAATAAAACTAGATTTTAAATCATAAAACAAGCTTAATTAATGACAATAACTGCTGGATTTCCAGCCCCTGAGCGCTTGGCTTTCAGTAACTGTGACCCCCTGAGCAATTTAACTGAATGGCCCTGATCTATAATAATAATAAATAACCACTAAATGTGCATCATGCACTACCAAAGGTTTATAGCATAATATGTAATAAATGATCAATTAAATCAGCAGTCGTGATCTGTTGCCAACAATTACGAGTTGTTTGTTTACAGCGTCGATCAGTAAACTTGGGACAGCCTTGGTAACCCGAGTGGATAAAATAATCTCCAGCTGTAAACAGTCAAGAGGGAGAACAGTGAAACCAGAGACGCCAGGTCCAAAGAGAAAAGGTAAAGTTCTCGTCTTGTTCTGAAAAGAAATGTTGACAGACGTGGAGAGCGTTAAAGCAAAAGTTGGGGTTAATGTCATGACAGAGATCGAGGCGGATACTGAGATATTTCAAATGCTTTTGGTAGAATTTCCATGTCTTAATATAGTTGTAAACAAAGATTACTGCTTTCTATGCTAATGAGTTTGATTTCCATTAATTCTCAAACAATCCTATTATTATTATTAACCTTTACTTAACCAGGCAAATCCCACAGATCTTTTTCAAGGCCTCGGCTTGAAGGTCATGCAAGTTTTTGGCATGTTTTCCTATAACGGTGTAGCGTTAGAAGGATAAAAATTAAAATTAAATTAACAATTGTGAAAAATTACATTATTTTGACAGCTGTTATGGCTTTAATTGTGCAATTATGATCAACAGCAACAGTTACAATAAGCAGATTTTTTTGTTGTTTTGTTTTGTTAAGTCTGTCAGTGACATAAGAACATAAAACTATAGCAGACCTATTGATTATTTAAAATCATCATAAACTTTATCATCACAACTACTAGAAAATAAAGTACAACACATTATCCACTAATGTTTTATTTTTTTATCTGTAATTGAATATTTTGGCTTCAGCCACCACTTTAATATAATTAACTGATTAGTTCCAGCTGTGTGAGATAAGAAAACTATGCTTAGCTTAATGAAAACGAGGTTTGCAGCATTAAAAACTGTTATTTATGTACAGAATAAAACGGTTAGTAACGTAAATCCTGTTGGAAAGAGTTAAGAGTAAAAACTTTTTTTCGTTTGTGTCAAAATGCGAAGATGTAATTAAGCTAATTAAAAATAAATAAATACATACCGATTGGCTTTTTCTGTTTGAAGCTTCCGCTGCCTTTTCCTAAATTATTCAGCTCGTATTTGTTTGCTTTGTTGAAATTGACGAGTAAATCGTTGAGAATGTCAAAAGAAGTTTTGCGAAACTTTAAACCTACAATTTGGCGAGGAGAACAAAGTATTCGCTTCGCCATTATGCTACCTTTTTACCCTTATCCTTCGTATATTACAAATTAAACCCGAATTGTGTTCTGTTAAAATATTGTAAATCGGAAATCTACTAATTATATTTGTCAAAAGATGGCGCTGTTAACAAGATTTTCTACCTAGGACCTTTTCTAGTAGGAACCAAAGTAGCCACCACGGGCTTTTATTCCATTTGCACATTGCGCCGGTTACGTAACCACAGATCTGACAATTTAGTGATGGGCCACGCTGCGCGCAATTAGACTCCGCCAGCGTCGTAGATGATTTAAAAGTCAGTGACGTGTTCTCCCACTGTCGTACTTGACTGCAGACATGGCTGACAAGAAACTTCCTGAGTCCGACGCTCCTTTTGCAAGCAGGATAGACCCGACTAAAGACAATCTATCTCGCGAACAAATGCACTTTATCAGACAAGTAGAACTCGAGCAGTGGAAGAAGAAATCATCTAAGCTTCGTACGCGAAATATTGTGACAGGACTCGCCATTGGAGCGGTCGTGCTGGGAGTCTGTATCCTTGGGAAGCGCTTTACGTTCACGCAAGGTGAACCACGTAACGTTAGCTTAGCATGCTAAAGTTACTCTGACTCGTGTCGTGTGTAGTGTTTATCACGCCACATGTTATGGAACACATTCATAAAGTTTGAATCATTGACTGAATGAGTTGTTCGCTTTAATCTTAAATATGTTTGACTCTTATCTGATGATATCAAGGTTGGCTAGCTAGCAACCACCGACTAGCTAAAGTACCGGCTGAGGGTTATGTCTGTACAAGTGACATTTTCCTAGTTAATATCACACATGATAAGAACAGTGTGCCTTACAATTATTTTGTCGAAAGATAATCAACCTGTTTCTTGTTTCAATTCGCAGAAGTTGGTAAGTGGGGTTGCAAGAGAATGAAATTGCTTCCTGGTGTTAAGGTTTTCGAGGTTTCCTGAACGCATCACACTTTGATCACTACATAGATTTAACAAACTTGTTTGCTTTTTGCTTATTAAGCAAATAATAGTGTTTATTCACCTTAATCTAGAAACTTTGTTTAAATCTGAACACGAGTTTATTTAAAATGTACCAAGTTTTTGTGGAAAACTGCCGCTTGGGCTGACAAATCAAAACATTAAAATTGTAATCTCTAAAATTAGTAACTGTTACCAGAACTCAGAAAGCCAGCCGGTTTATAGAATGTGTGTTTATATACCTGCATTCAATTAATGTCAATTAGAGCAACATAAGGTATGGTTTAAGTAAGACAATGCATGAACCTATAATGCTACAAAAAGCCCAAATATGATTAGCGTCTGCAAGTTTAGAGAAGTGACATTTTTATCTTAAACTTAGTTCTTGTATTTTGTGTAGATTTGCACGTTTGTTAGTTTTTTTTTAATGGGGTCGATGTTTGATTTCCTCCACATATTATAACTGGACTTCATTTGTTTCCCAATTTACTGTAAAACTACAAACAAAACACACAAGCAGACGTTGGAGGTGGTTTTTTTTACCTGTTGATTTAGAGTTTACATGAATATACTCAGTCAATCAAAACTTGTATTTCAGACACATACATGGTCCATAGTAAATAACAGGCAAACGCCACACAATAAAAATAGAATGTTCATCTATTGCCATATAAATTAAGGCGCCAGTGATTCCACAGACTAGAAGAGACTCTAACCGAGCTGTGTACGGGGTTGATCAGAGTATAAATGATGCTATTTATTTACAGTCTGTTAGCCTACACATACATCTGAAAAAAGCATAAGCTTTCGAAGCACAGCAGCACAAGTTGGTATGTTGGCATTTACAAACATCTGACTGGTGCTACTCCATCGCAGCACCTTAAGCAGCAGCATCATGCCATCATTGTACTCCACCTGAAGTTTATGCATACTGCTTTTTCTGTAATGCTGCCACAGGTGGGCAGTAGTACAATATACTTTAAAGCCTGCAGTTTTTACAGATACTGAGCAGAGAACTTCTGAAGCGTATTAGCTTGTACGACACATTGCATACAACACTACCTGTGAATGTCCCCATCTTCAGACAGGTTATGTAATGTCCCAAGTATACTGATTGAATCGTATTTTCTAAAAGACAGTATTTGGCTTCAGTGTAACAATTACTACATATTTCAGGACTGACTTAACCCCTTTTATTCCCCAACGCATCTGTTAAACTTGGTAAATATTTTATGTCGTATAGTATTTCCTCCACGTTTTAAACATTTGCCTTGACCGTTTGCTCCCACGTCAGACGGCTACACGATGTTTTCAGTGTCCCAGGAACGGATCATGGATGAGATCGACGAGGAGGCCAAGAGGCTTCAGAGACCAAAGACTGGAGCCAACTGAGGCAGATGTTGGGTCCGTGCTCGCCCTGCGCTTAACCAGAACAGACGACACCGATTTGTGTTCTCTGCCTGAACTGGACTTTGTTCTGTCTCGGAGAGAAATGACGGAAGTTTTTGTTGACTTTAAAATTTGACGCGTCTTGATCTTTATTTGATTTCCTTTGAGTGGAAGGGACTGAACCGCTGACCTGAGCACGGCTCGATGCTCCACAGGAGGCTCGGACCGTAGCGTTGCCACCTCTGGTCCTGTTATTTATGTTGCATTGTGAATTTTTATTAAACAAACTCGACCTTCTGGCACCATCTTTAAGAGTAAAGTGTCTGTTAATGACAAAGGAGCCAAAGTATTTACAATTGCTTTTATTTGTTTCGAATTTAACATTTGATCTAGCAACAGGATCTTGAATGAAAATATAAAGTAAGACATTAGAGAAAGGCACAGATTCAGCTTGGCAGGACAGCAGCTTCAGGAAGCAACAATTCTATATAAAAACATTCAAAACTCTGATTTGTAACTTGCTTTTAAATATATGATTGACTGCCAGGTGAATATTTTATAAGGCCACAGCTACAGATTCACATCTTAAATACCTTTCAGTACAATGAAGGGGAAGAAGACGTTCTGCCTCCATTACAGGCAAAAACAGTTCATACCACAAATATGTTAAATGACTGAGAACTGAAAGAACATTTGCTAAAGTGCACAAGGTGCTTGATTTATGGAACAAGCAACAATTTATTTTTAAAGCAGAAATATTTAAACTTGTAAACAAACTATAAAATCAGTTCTTTACACATGTACAGTCAACAGGGAAGACAGTAGTTACAAAAGTGGATTTTCACAACTAACGGATTTTCCCGCATTTCAAACCAGTTACAGACTGTTAATGTTTGACATTTCTCTACCTGTTTTTTATTTGAATCTAGTTTATAACCAGTTCTTTTCATCTTTAATGTTTTGTTTCTTAGAAGCTTCATGTTTTTATAAAGTGTCTGAGCACGGCTTCACAATGCGACGTCAGATTATACAGTTACTGTCACGTTCATACCCCAATTCAAGATGGCCTCCGCAGCAAAGCGGGCTTAAACACAAAAATGTCTTGGTTTTACAGCCACGAAGCTAAATGTTGGTGTGGTAGTAGCAAAGTCGTTCACGTGAGATTTCACAAAATATTTTACGGTTTGACCAAAATGGCTGTAGCTCCATTTCTCAACACAACATGAAGTTTAAAGCTCAGGCGTGAAGGCGGCGGGTGATACTCAGTCCTCCAGGAATCCCAGTTTTTTTTTATTTCCATAGGAACTGATGAGAAAAGTGAAGACGCCAGCTTCCTGTCGGTCTGGGTCCGTTCCACGGCACATCCGTGCAGCTCTTCGTACCATCACTGGACTGCGTCAGAGCAAACGAATTCGTCACGTCCGAACCGTTGGGGTCCGACTGTTTATTTACCGAGCGAGAGCGGAGGGGGGAAGAAAATGTCACTTTTAACACGGAGCAGACCGGTTGAGCTGCAACAGCGTCTGCAGATGTGAGAACCGGATGTTCCAGCTTCATCCGTAACAGTTTCTGTCAGTTTGAGGTAAGTGATCGTGACGGAGGGAAGCGGTTGATCGGCGCGTCGGTGGAACGGGTTGAAGACTCGTGACCTCTTGCAGTCCCACTTCAGATGAGGTAGTCCAGACTCGCAGCATGCTTCTTACTAGAAAACAGAGCAGGTTAGTTAAACGGCGTTTCATTAGAAAGTTCTGCTTCTTGCTTTCTTTACTCACCATTCTGCTCAAGTCTTTGGCGAAGGTGACGCCTTTGCTGGGTTTATCCTGCGAGCCGCTGCTGCTGCCTCCCAGAGAGTTTCTCCTGATGATGCCTGCTGGAGCAGAGACGGAGTCAAACCAATGCAGGAATAATGAAAGTCCAGCTTAATTTAACTTATGACGTTTTAAACTAAGATCGTGTAACGATGGGAAAGAGCCGATATAAGTGTTAGCGCACTGAAGGTGTAGGGAATGACTCTCGGCTACTACCACATAAAAGATGAGCTAAATGTTCATTAAAGTGGCTGAATTATAGCTAGTTTTGTGTTTGGTAAAGTTTACTGTGGTGAACATCTCAAGTCCTGCAGCTGTAAAAGTTCTGAGAGATTCATTAAAATCTGTCCCGTTAGGCCTGTGGCGATAAACAATAAATCAATTAATCGCATGATAAATGAAAATTATCTACCTCATTTTCATTTATCGGCTTTATCGTTTCTTCGAGTCTCTCTCTTTCTACTGAAGACACTGGATGACAAAAGGCTCAACTGCGGTGTTCTTCACTGACTCCTCCCTTTCCCTTTAAAATTAGTTTTAACCGTCCAAAATCACGTTTTTGGATCTAAGCTACGAGCTAAGCCAACAGGCCGACCTCTGGAATAAACCTCTGTCTTAAAGCTCCAAAATTCACGGTTGAAACCCGTGCCTTCGTCTAAAAAGTTGTTTTTCTCTGCAAAAAGAACTTGTTTACAGATTCTTTATTAAAAGCTTTGTGTGAAAAATGCTACGCTAAACAGCTCAAAGAGCGTCCACAATTTTGAGAACCGAAAAAAAGGAAGGCGAGACAGCCCATGTCACGTCAAGGGGCCTCCCTCCCATTTTTCTTAAGAGACGCACTGCTCGCTCCCTCACTATCCATCCTTCAGTTCAAATAGTCTTATACTGCCATCGGGTGGTCAAAAAAGTAAAAAATTACCACCATTTCTTCTCAGCTTTGACCATTATTACCACTTATTGTCAAATTTCAAACAATATTATTGTTTATCACAATAATTTCTGGGACAATTAATTGCCCAGCAAAATTTGTTATCGTGACCGGCCTATGTCCAATTGTTCAGGAGATATTTTGGTAACAGACAGGGTTGACAGTAACCTTTAAGCGAAGACGTTTTGACCGTGTTTGGTATAATATCTAACATCATCCGAGTCTGGCCCATTTTTGTGTTTATGTCAATTAGCTGTGGCGGCCATCTTGACATCTTAACATTTTGATTGACTCCACATGTTTATCAGGCGTAGAGGTGCGTCCAGCGGTTACTTTACGAGTGTTTCATAAAGTTTCGTGCTCCTTCAACTGCGGGCGATATTCTAAAGTCGTCACCTTGGAGAGGCAGCATGTCCACCCGCTGCAGACTGTTCCTGCGAGACGAGGAGAAACCGCTCCCTTTGGAGAGGCGGCGCTGCCGACTGGACAGCATGGCTGCAGGGCAGACGATGCCTGGAGGGGGGACCTTCCCCACGCTCTCATAGAGCTCCTCAATCTCTCTCTTCTGGGCCGCCTGCAGAGCCAGGACCTCCGACAGATGTCTGAGAGACACACAGAAAACAAGATGAGCCGCTGTTTGGAAACAGTCACTTGAATGTTGGCGTAAAAATAAACACGAAAATGTAAAACGTCACGATTCACTTAATGATTTCATTTGTTAAAGGTGTTAAAATGAGGTAAACAGATAAACTAAATTTAATATCCGACAAATCTAATCAAATGTAGGAAGCTTGTACATTTTTGAGGACTATTACTAACAGGAAATAAAGCTAATAAATATATTTCTTGATTAAACGTTACCTTAATGTTTGCTTTTAGAAACGTATATATGCACACAGATTATTTTCTTTAATCGGAACTATAAATAAAAAGGGTTTAGACTTCCGTGAGAAATGAAAGTTCCCAATGAAGCAAACGTTCTTCATTAAAAGTAAAAGTACAAAAGAATCTGGCCGCCTACTTCTCTCGGAGTTCCCGCAGCTCCTCCAGCATCTCCTCTCCGTTGCTGTCCGAGTCGTCGCTGCTCAGGAAGGGGGCGTTCCGGTTGTACGTCGTCATCCACAGGTGATGAAGAGCGTTACCGTACTGAGGACTCCCCGCCGCTCCGTCCCACAGCCTGCCCTCGGTGTCGGCGGCCGTCACCGACAGCCCGCTGTCCGCGGACGTCCCCATCAGGCTGAAGCTGCACGTCCTCCGCCGTCCTCTCTTCCTCACCCTCGATCTCTCCCCCAGCGCCTCCTCCTCATCCTCCTCGTCTTCGCCTTCCTCTCCTTCACCTCCTCTGTCGTGCTGCTGCAGCTCCTGGCTCACAGCCCACCCCGGCGGCCCGGCGGCCTCCTGTAGGACCCCCGCGGTGCCTCTGTTGGGGTGCGGGTGAGGAGGGGACATGGTGAGGGAGGTGCCCATGCTGGTTTCGGACCCCCCCTGCTCCTCTGTGCTGCTCTCGGACTGGGTGCTGGCGTTGGCGGGCGGCTGAGGCGCAGCGGGCGTGGCAGGTTTGGGGATGTCGACGCTGGGCGTCACCTGGAACCGTCCGACGGTCACCGGAACCGGATGAACGTCTGCAGTTTGGAAACAAACACGTTAAAATCAAAGTTTTTATCTAGGATGTTAAAAATTCAATTCACCGAGTAGTTTGAGCGCTGAAAACCTTTAAGACTTATTTTTTGTTTTCCAAAATTATTCACAAATTACACCAAAAATCAAACGCAGGTATGAGACATTAAAACTAGTTAATATTTAGCGCTGACAAGAATTCTTTCAAAGGATAGGAGTTATTTTAAGGGTTGTTTCTTCAAAGTAAGGTGGTGCGCCATATTTAATCCCAACAGTCTGTGTTTTCATCTTTTCTCATATTTTGTGGTGCCTCTTTCAGTCACCGTTAGGCCTGTCACGATAACAAATTTTGCTGGGTGATTGTCTCGGAAATTATTGCGATAATCGATTATATTGTTTGAAATTTGACAATAATTAGTAATTATTGTCAAATTTAAGAAGAAATGTTGGTTAATTTTTGTGTATAGTACCTTTTTTGACCACTGGATGGCAGTATAAGACTGAACTGAAGGATGGATAGTGAGGGAGCGAGCAGCGTAACTAAGGAAAATGGGAGGGAGGCCCCTTGACGTGACATGGGCTGTCTCTTGTTCCTGTTTTTCGGTTCTCAAAATGGCGGATGCTCAGTGTGGTTTGAGCTCTTTAGCAGAGCATTTGTCACACAAAGCGTTTAATTAAAAAAAATCAGTGACCAGGTTCTCAGCTTCTTTTTGCAGAGAAAAACAACTTTTTAGACGAAAGCACGGGTTTCAACTGTGAATTTTGGAGCTTTGACAAGATGGAGGTTAGTCGTCATGGATTGGTTAAACAGCATTTAGATCCTCGGTTGTTCTCTGCAAACCACGCAACAAGACGTGGCTGCATCCAAACGGAGTCTGCTCACATCTGCAGCCCATTAAAGGGTTTTAAAGCTCTGCAGTGCCTCAGCTTCCCCACCGAGTGTCCTCCTTACAGTCAACTGTGCGTCTGTGCCCGCTGGAACAGAGGGGCTCTGTTGAAAGTGGCGCTCTGAGGAGGGTATGAACACAAACAGGTGTGGATGTGGGAGGAGAGGCCTGTAACGAGCGCAGCTGCCTGCTGATTGGTCGAGGGCCGGTGGGTTGGGCGGCCATCACACATACGTTTGTGTTCGCACCGAACGGAACATTGCGTTCAGACTCGGGGTTACACAACTGCCCCTGCGACTCCGCTAATGATGTCAACAGTGAGACACAGGATGGATTAAAAGAATATTCAACAGGAATGAACCCTGAACGAGACAAAATACTATTTTAGGGAAACCGATACTTTTTTGTTGTAAATAAAATAAAGGTCACCGTTTGTTTATTTTGTGACTGCTGAGTCAGCATTCACTCTGTTGTTTCTTCCGCACGTTCTTTCCTCAAACTATTTCCACTATAACCCTCCATATATCATTTTTAGCTACTGTTCTGCTACTTTTGCCTTTTAGCTACTGCGCTGCTACTTTTACCTTTTAGCTACTGCGCTGCTCTTTAACCCATTAGCTACTGTTCAGCTACTTTGAACTTTTAGCTAAAGCTCTGCTTGTTTAATCTTTTAGCAATCGTTCTGCTACTTTTAGGTTTTAGCTGCTGATCTGCTAATTTTACATTTTAGCTACTGCAATGCTACTTTTACCCATTAGCCACGGCTCTGCTTCTTTAATCTCTTAGCAATTGTTCTGCTACTTTCAGGTTTAAGCTGCAGTTTAGATTTTTTTTTAGCTACTATTCTGCTACTTTTCACTTTTACCTACAGTTCTGCTACTTTTGGCTTAAAGCTACCATAATGCTACTTTTAGCTACCATTCTGATACAATAGTTATAATTATACTATTTTAGCTTTCAGCTACTGTTCTGCTCTCTTCAGCTTGTAGCCACAGAGATGCAAAATTTAGCAACCAACTATTGGCACCTAATTTTAGATTTGGCATGTTTGGTGAACTTAAGCTATTATTTAGCTAATTATAGCTACTGATTAGCACATTTTAACTTTTATCTACCAGCACTTGCTCTGATTTTAAGAATTAGCGTTGTGGCAAATTTTAGTTTTAGATGTTGCTTGTAGGAAATTAGCTTTTGTTCTGCCTCTTTTAGCTTCTGTTATCCTTTAAAAACTCTGTTTCAGCTTCTTTAGCTGAGTTCAGCTGAATGTTCACACTGCACTCTAACCTAAGCTTGTGTGCACACAGTTTGTTTTAGGTGCAAACACAAACTTTGTAAGTGTGTCGTCTCCCAGGTCTCCCTGCTAAACTCTTACCAGACGCAGCAGGAGGAGACTTCGGCTTCGGAGAACCTCTGCTGGTCTCAGGTCCGGCTGGATGGAACTGACTGTTGACGGAGGACACCTGAAGAATAAATGAAACACAAATACAACCAATTGATGGGAAAAACACTTTATTTTGTGAAAAATAAGAATGAATCCGTTCTCTCCTGCACCGAAGTAAACATTTGAATTTAAAGAAGAAACTAACACATAAATATCTCAATTTTACAGACGAGCTATAAAACTTGGTGCGTTAGTAGCTGAAAGCAGCTGAACCCAGGCGCTAACAGATCACACAAGTTTAACTCACAGTGTTTTTTGGGCTCACGGGAGGCGACGAGGAAAGGTTTGATGAACTGGACCCTAGTGAACCAGTTTTAGGCTGGAGCTGGGCTGAGTGCGGCGCTGTGTAGCCGTCTTTAGTGGGACTGGGGGAGCCGTTGGGTCGCAACGTCTCCAGAACCGACTGCAGAGGAGTGGAAGGCACGGAGGACATGGGAGACATGGGATGTTGCCAGTGAGGATGAACGTTCTGGTAAAAAGGAACTCCGTCCATGTAGGGGGTGGGCTCCGGGGTTGGGTAGATGCCCACCGACGGGTAGGGGAGCTCCACTGGCGGCGCTGGAGTCTGGTAATGGTTGGGGTACATGGTGGGGTAACCTGACTGAGGGGCTAAATGGGCTGGCAGCTGCGGGTGGAAGACTGGATAGGAGGGCATGGCCTGGGTGGGGAGGTTACCGGGGGGGATGAAGGACTGAGCCATGCTCATCGCCATGGAGATGACGTTCGCCAAAGAGAATAGCGGCTGCGTGTGAGCGGGCCACATGTTGGGGTGCTGCGGCGTATGCGAGGACATGGTGACGCTCTCATTTGTAGGGCTAGGGGTCTCGTTCACCGGACTGGGGGAGCTGGGGGTCGGGGAGGGCACAGATGGGAAGGTGGGGTTGCTGGCTACCCGCGTGAGGGGCGGGTGGAAACCTGGCGGCTTCGGGGAACCAGGCGAGCCTGGATACGGGAAAGGGAAGTGAGTTGGGCCCAGGTAGGGCACGTGGTAGTGCTGATGATGGGACAGCAGAGAGGAAGTGCGGCTGTGCTGCTGGTGAGCGAGAGGAGAACCTGGAGATCAAAAACAACAACAGTTTTAACTTGTGTTTGTTAAGTTCAATAAAATTAACAAATAAATAAATAAAGCCTCATAAATCCTCCAAACAGCCGACGTTACAGCTCAAATGCTGCCACACATGAGCCATCTCTAATGTCCTGTCACTGAAAAGCGGGCGATCATGTTTGTGCTTATCTATATGGGTGAACGTTAGTACAAGCATGTCTGTTAGCAAAATATCTCATGAACCAGTGAGTGTGAGTTCTGTATTGAACGTTTTTTGAACCAGTGAGTGGTTTCCAAAGTAAATCTCAAAGTAATCACTGATTAAACATTTACAACTGATTAACTTTTGGAGTCGATACAATTCAAGGCAACAACAAAAAAAAAAGGGCTTTAATTCAGTTTTAAAGACGTTGAGCTGAAAGTTGGTGTGGTAGTAGCTGAAAGTCATCCTCAACACATACTCAGAGCTTCAATGTGCCTTTTGCTATTTACCAAAATGGCTGCATAATAACACAATTACGGATCAAAATTCGAGCAGTAAAGGTGGCGGGCGATATGTAATTTACTCGAGCAATTTTACTTTTATTGTAATTTTTTCCACTTCATCATTATTCTCCAAACTCACTTCATTCAAAGAAAGATGCTCGTTTGACACGAGCCCATTAATACGACGGTCCCTCATTTATCGCAGTGGATCTGTATCCTGAAGCCCCGCGATACGTGAAAAAACGCGAAGTAGGAATAGTACAAGTAGTACGTAGTACCATATTTTCTGCCATACACATCACACCGCTCTATAAGTCGCATCAGTCCAAATACGTCTAATAAAGTGGAAAAATCCATAAATACGTGGCTTCGCTGTATAAGTCACATCTATGATGCATCACCGCTGACAACCCAAAAATGTTGTGCCAAAAATCGATTGGCTGCCAAATGGCGGCCACGGGAACGTGCATGAGAGGACTTTAACAAGAATTAACAAGATTGACAAATTTGCTTGAAATTATAGTAAATGTGTGTCTCAGTCTAACTTTTCCTTAATAAATGCACTTTGACGGTCAAATCAGCTGCATTTCAAAAGCCGATACGCGGAAACAGGAGCGTGCGGAGGGCGACTCGCTGTGCATTTCTTAAAAATTTAACAAGATAAAGACCTAAAAACAATTATTTGTTTGCTCGACTTTATATTAAAGGTGTGTCTCAATTGAACTTTTACTTAATGAATGCACTTCATTGATCAAATTAGCTGCCGGGGCGGTGCAGCGAATGAAGCTGATTTAACGTTTGCTCCAGGTGAGCTGCACGAAGGTGGCAGGCTACGGCAAGCCGATTGTGTCATTAATAGCCACTTTTACCTATTACATGACACAATGGCTACTTGAGTGCCATCTAGCGGCTGAAAATGGTAGTGTTCAATATTTTCAGTCAGAATGAATGAAAACGGTCGTATCTCAGTCAAAAACCGGTTTATAAATCTGGGAAAAATCCATAAATACGTTGCTTCAGCGTATAAGTCACAGGGCATGTAAATTATGGGAAAAAAAAGTGTGGCTTATAAGCTGAAAAATACAGTTTATTTGTATGTGTGTGTATATATATATATATATATATATATATATATATATAAAGGTGTTTTAAACCCTTCCCACACTCTTGCAATATTCTAAACAATGTTTCTAAACTCTGAATGCTCTAAACGAGCACAGAATGTCATGATTTCTGCTCTGCCTCCTCTCGGCCACGCCCACTTCTCCACAGCAGAATGGAGATCACGGGGTAGGAAGGAGGAGGTTGTTTCTCCTGCAGTATGGGCTGCACAAAGGTGCAACAGGTGTTCCATGCCGATCGTGCGGCTCATCCATGAATCAGCCAACTGTGTGTCACGTCCAATCTTATTTTGAAAAATCGCGATAAGAGTGAGTCCGCGATAAACGAACCGCGAACTAGCGAGGGACTACTGTAAATGTCATCTAGTTTCATCGTAGATATCTAAATACAATGCATGTTCTCCTTTAACCCTCCTGCTGCCCTGGGGTCAAAATGACCCACAAGCCCAAACTGAGAGCTCGTGGGCAGCAGGAGGGTTAACTGGGTTAACTGGTCCATCAAATTATTGGTTTTTTGGAGAGCTGGAGTAGGGAAATTAGACAGGGTTGACCCTAAGAGACCAATCAGGGTTCTGTTAATCCTCCCCTTTAGCTTACTGCCAGGAGATACATTATATAGAGCATAAAACTTTCCTTTATTTAAAAAAGGGGTTTCCATGGAGAACAAAAACGTTTTGTTTAACGCAGCATCTGACTGTAAGTGCATGTGTACGCCACAGCTCGTATGGCTGTGAGGGATCAGCGAAGCCTTTTACATTTCAGGGGGTTTAAATAGAAGACACGTGTGTGTACACAACTCTTATTTTTTCTTTTTTCTTTGGGGGTCTGATTAAAGAAGTCAGGATTTGTGAATCGCTCCCCGCGGGAATGGTTTTAGACGTCTCAACAATGGCTCCACAGTTACGAACCGCAGCTCCTCTTGCTGATGATCCAAACCAGCCTCCTCGCTTTTTTTCCACGCCGACGGAAACGGGAGTTAGGCAACGATCTGTAAATAGTGGAGCGCGGCCATGAAGAGTTGCAAAAGCGAGCTGACGTCTAACAGAGAGGATGCGCGGGACAGGAGTGGATTAAAGAGCTAGCAGCGCTACAGGGAATGCATGTCGCCCACCGTCTTTCACGTCAGAGTGACGATCATTTTTAGCTGAGGGGACGGAGTTATAACCGTTTGATACGTGCAATTTATTTTAATATAATCTGTGTGTCGGTGCTTGAAGTATATGTTGAGGACGACCCAGCTACTACCAGACCACATTTTAGCTCAACGTCTGTAAAACTGACTTAGAGACATTCCTGTGCGATCATCTGTGGTAGCCACGTGGAAGAGAAGAGTTTGAGAGTTTCATTAAAATCCATCCACTGGTTCAAGAGATATTTTGCCGACACAGACAATATAGCCTTCGAGGAATAATGAGGATGTTCAAGGCGGCAGCGAAGTGAGAAACCGTGATGTTAAACAGACTTTCAAAGCTGCAGAAGGAGAAGGAGGTGGAGGAGGGGGACTTTGAGTCGGGGAGAGAACATTCGTGGAAACTCTGCAGGAGTTTGTGCTGGCAAACAGATGTTGCTGGCTATCACAACACGGCAGAAACCTCATGCTTCACAGCGACGGCATTCACAGCTCTCCAAAAGCCAGAAAGCTCCCTTCAGGTGAGGCAATTACCCAGGAGGCCCTGCTGCAGAGCGGACACGGAAGCTTTGATGGCAGGTGGCGCCAAGCGAGCGCCTGAACAATACTGGGAGCAGGGAGGCGAGGGGTGAGGGCGTTAATGAAGCAGCTGAGCTCTGGTTGTATTATTTGCCCAAAGGATCGTAACCTCAGCCTCTTCGAGTGTGGGGGGGTCAGAGGGCTGTTTACCTGGGGCGTACTGGAAAGACTGCGAGCGTAAGAGAGGTCGCCCCGGTGGAGTAATGTCTGGACCGAAGATCTCTCTGTTAGGACGCGAGGGAGAGCCACGCACCCCCACAGTCGCGTTAGCCACACTGTCGTCTAAGATGAGACACACATGCATGAGTGGACTTCATGACCACACGCTCGATGATCAACACATGATGAATCAAACACACGAAATGTTAATCAGACATGCTGTAAAATTAAAAATTAAAAAACAGGAATTAGACATGGTCTACATGGGAACAAATTTTGTGGATACAAGAAAGTTCATCTAACGAGGTTGAGTCAAGTTCTCTGGATGGATTCTTCTTTACTGAAACGGTTCACCTTTTATCCTAAGGACTTCTTCAGTCTGAGGAGCTGTAACTAACTCTGTGGTTAGGCTGATGGTCCTCCTTTTGTATGTGAACAGCTAGTTCTGGCTGGTTGATCCACTTTGAGAAAGAGCTGCTTATAAAACTGAGTTTGTTGCAGCTCCTCACACTGAAGAAGTCCTTTGGATAAAAGACGAACCGTTTCAATAAAGAAGAATTCATCCAGAGGACCTGACTCAACCTTGTCAGTTTTATCTACCTGGATTACTGAGCAGCATCAGGACATGGAAGTTAATAATTTCTTCCACATGGAAACGTTTTAAGAAACGATATTTCTTGAAACTGGGCTCCAGAGTGGAAGCGAAGAGAAAAAGAAGCTACAAGGCTGAAGAACAATAACTTTGCCTTAAAAGATATTCACTTGAACCCAAAAGATAGAACGCAAAAAGTTCTATCCTGAACTATATCAAACGGTGCACATTAAAGTTTACTCCAGTAGTTTTCAAGATCTTAACTCTGAAATGTAATGATGAAAAATTTAAATGTAAACAAAGAACAAATCTGCCGAAAACCACGTGGACTCATCAGTGATCGACGTACATTTGGCTGGCCGGAGCCTCCAAGCAAGCACGGCAAAGTCTGATAAACATAGACTCTTGAAGACGTTTAGGTGGAAATAAAAGATTGAATCTGCTGCTAAACGCCAAAGAAAGGAGAAATATCAACTAAGAAAACTCAAGAATAAATGTCGGCGATCAAGCGTTTACTAAATTTGTTCTAGGACGGTAAGTTTACAGCTTCAATCTAACCGTTCTCTTCGTCTGTGTGGTTTGCTCAACAAACCTGAGCGCATGTGCGTCAAAACAGAGTTGTGGGATCTCTCCATCCCAAACAGCTCTTCCATACACATCACCATTTTTACCCTATTTTTCGCTGTATAATTCAGTTTTTTTTTCATAAATTAGCATTCTGCGACTTATACAGCGAAGCGACATATTCATGTTTTTTCCCACATATTTATAAACCAATTTTTGGCTGAGATGTGACGATTTCATTCATTCTGACATGGAAAATATTGAACAATACCATTTACAGCCACTAGAGGGCCCTTGACTAATATGGCAAGCCAAGTGTCTCATTAATAGGTAAAAGTGCCTATTAATGAGACATTGGCTTGCCATACAAAGCCATCTTTGTCTTTTTCCAGAACTCCTGAAGCAAACCTCAAATCAGCTGCATTTCACCGCACCGCCCAGGTGAAATGCAGCTGATTTGACTGTCAAAGTGCATTAAGTAAGGAAAAGTTAAACTGAGACGCACCTTTGCTATAATTTCGAGCAAACAAATAACTGTTTTTCAGTGTTAGTCTTGTTAAATTCTTGTTAAAGTCCTCCCATGCACGCTCCCACGGCCACCATTTAGCAGCCAATCGATTTTTGGCACAACACCGGCCCACATTTCCAGGTTGTCAGCGTTGACGCGTAACAAACGCGACGCGTCAGAAGTGGCGCATAATAGATGCGACTTATACGGCGAAGCAACATATTTATGTGTTTTTCCACTTTATTAGACATATTTGGACTGATGTAAATGATACGGTGGTGCGAGTACGGTAAGCTATTTTCAGCACTTCAGTTGTTCCCATATGTAAACAAACACGAGGTGTTTGGCAGAGGGTCACTATTTTAGACTATTTATTTTAAGGACACATTATTCATAGATGTGAGAAAGAAAAAAAGTGCAGATTTTTTCCTTTAAGGTTTTATTTTACAGAATTTCATGACTTGCAATGAGTACCTTTAAAATAAATATCTTACCCGTTACAAATAATCCAAGGACATGAAGGTTTTAGTCAGTTTATCGTCAACAACACTAAAAACCAAACAGAGGGGGAAAAAATACAATACTGTACACATCCTATGTATATTTGAATATTTGGACTGCCATCCACACTGTCCTACACTTTGTGGTCTACAAAAAAATCCACAGAAAGGATTCGGTTCGTGCTCTGCCTACGCCTCGTTTCCTGTTTTTGGTGTATTTTCACGGCGGCAGCACAGCGCCACACCCAGGCCTGGCCAAGCTATTACAGCCTGTCTGGGTCGTTTCTGTTTCCATGTGGATGAAAACGAACACTTTTAGAGACAAGTAAAAAAAGAGTGTTTTTATTTGTTGTAGAGGGTGTTCCCATGTGGACAAGGTGTTTTGATGTCTAAGAATTTTAAAAAGCACAAGAAGCAAAGCTGAGTGGTTAATTTCCTGTTAGTTTTTGGATGAAGTCGCTCAAACACACGAGACTTACCGGGCAGAGAAGACGAGGACTGGGTTCGAGGCATGGTGTGGCTGTGCAGATTAGGCTGTAAAAAAACACATTTGATAAAAATCAGTCTTTAATTCTGTTAATTATTGACTAAAATTATGATTTATCATCTTATATTCGATGAGAACAGGCAGTGTTTAAGACCAGATAGAGTGATTCATAAGAAATGTCCATGGTAATAAATTATATTTTTATTTTATTACAGGATGTACAGAATATTAAACTTCTAAAGGTGCGTCAAAAATCAAATTCAGTTGCAGAGAAGATCTAAAAATGTTATTTCTTGAACTTTGACGCAAGCTGCATTACTGAAACTAATATACCTACTCAAACCACTAAGACAGTAGCTAAAAGCTAAAATTAGCATATTCTTACCTAAAAGCCAAACTCGGTAAAGCTAAAAATCAACAAAACTTTAGGTAGAAGCTATTATCAAAAAGGTAGCTAAAAGTTTAAAATAGCTAAAAAGTATGCAAAAGCTAAAATTGCTCAAATCAGCTCAACTGTAGCAACAAACTAAAATGAGAATACAACTATAGCTTAAAGCTAACGGTTGCTAAATATAATTAAACGTAAAATTAGCTAAACTATTATGATTGAGAGAAACTCGAAGCTAAAATTGGCAAAACAGTAGCTAAGAACTAAACTTAGGAAAAATATATAAAAGCTAAAAATCAAAACTTTAGCTAAAAACTAAAGCAAAAACTTAAACGAATGCTAAAAATAGTAAAACTGTAAATAAGGACTAAATTAGCTTAACTGCTTAAATCATTGTGACTGTAGCTAAAAAAACTAAAATCTAAAGTTTTACTAAAAGTTAAAAATCTAAACAGCAGCTAAAAGTTCAAATCAGCTAAATGTTATCTTGAAGCTGAAATGATGAAAATCGTAACCTAAATCTAAAATCAGGAAAATGGTAGCCAACAACTAAAATGATTCAAACAGTTGATAAAAGCTAAAATCAACTAAACTGTGGCTCGTAGCTAAATGAGCAAAAACCATAGATGAATGTTAGAAATAGTCAAACTAAATAAGAACGAAATTAGCTAAACTGCTCAAATCACAAACATAGCAGCTAAAAAACTAAAATAAGCTACATTTGTACAAAAAGCTAAAAATTCTAAACAGTAGCGAAAAGTTCAAATCAGCTAAATTTTATCGAAAAGCTGAAATAATTAAAAACGTAGCATAAAGCTAAAATCAGGAAAATAGTCGCTAACAATTAAAATGATTAAAAACGTAGATAAAAGCTAAAATAAACTAAACTATAGCTTGTAGCTAAATGAGCAAAACCATAGACGAATGCCTAAAAAAGCTAAACTTACTGCTACTCAAATTAGCAAGGTACTAGCTAAAATCTTAAAATTACCCAGATATTATCTAAAAGCGAAAATATAAAAGATAGCAGCTAAGTAGATTTAAAAAAACCTGAACTTGTCAACCTGAGGGGGAAAATATAAGTAAAGTTAAATAATTTAACGAGCATACAAGTCATAGATACTAAAAGTCAAAGCACACCATTCCTAACCGAGCCGAAGGCTTTGATATACAAATGATTAGAACAGCACAAAGTACATGGAAGTAATTTGTTTGAAACTATAAACAGGAAAGCTGGCTCGGCTGCAGGCATGGGGGGGCTAATAAGTAAAGAAGGTAAATAAAGCTGCTCTTCATCGTTGCAGCTCTAGTTTGACTTATCGAACATGGAAGCCGAGGCTTTTCTCTCTCTTGAGGGCAGATGTTCCTTATGCCTCACAAAGTGGAACGATGAGGCAGAACGAGCGCTGCTTTTCCTCAGACAGACACATTGGATCTGATAAGGCGTTCGGTCATAGACTGTGCTGGCGTTTCACATAGAAAAGCCGTTTCTATTTTTTTTATTTCTTGTTCTGGCAGCTGACTTCACAGTTTCACAGAAGCTTAATTCATAAGAAAGTAATACATCTGAGCATCAACCATTTTACCCACTTACTGCTGGCAGACATGCTGGAACATGAGTCAATCTGCGGACTGGAAAGGAAAGGTGCTCGTGGGAACAAATTAATGAGGAAAATGGAGACGTACGTTATGTTTCCGTAAAGCGCACGGTTTTACGTCAAATGTTCTTTCAGTGACGCCGCGTTCAGAACGAAAGCTCGTACGAATGCCTAACCCGCTCAGTGGGGAGCAGAAGTTTATGGCTTCTAGTAGAGGTATACTGCGTAACAATGAGGGATAATTATATTAAAACAAAACTATGTTGATAAATCAGACTTAGCTGAAACACGTGATTAAAGCTCTACAGCTCAGGCAGACGCCACGGTAGAAACATCGTTATCCGTTTAAACGGGTCACAGAAAGTCGGACCTTACGAGTCCGGACTGCCATTTTGACATCTTCAACAGTTTTAACGCAATCACAGTTTAATTTTTGTGATTTTTTTTTTTTTTTTTTGCACGAATAGCTGAACTCTAAAGTCTAAAAACGTAAGAACTTTTAAAACAAACGACTGCCACATCGTTTTCATATAAATACACAAATTAAATCTTAAAATAAAGGGATAGCACTTGTTTTCTCTCCAGCCCCCTCAAGAACCATAAGTCCACAGCGAGGCTTGGATACTTAAACAGTTAATACTTCAAAATGTAGGTCCTTTTTTTAATTACTTTAAAAATAGACCTTTATTCGAAAACGACAAAACTGATGTTGGTGTTTTCGTCCGCAGCTGATTCAGCATTTTTTCAGGAACTTTCTTGTTGTGTGAATGTTTATGAAGCTTTCACTCTGTTGTAATCCAGTTTTCTTACGTATGTTTTTTGGCATCTTTCTTGTTACACAATTTTGTGCTATTTCAACAAATGATAAATTAAAACGTTCAGCTTTTTCAGAGAAATCCTGCTATGACTTTTGGTATTGGTGCAACTTTAGCTTTTTGAAATATTTAGCCTTTTCTGACTTTTTTTTTGCCTCATAGAAAATAAATTGAGCACATTTTACATCCTTCAGATCTTTAGATCCGTTTACAGCCTTTTACTGCTCCTTTCACATTCTGTTCTGGTTCAGCTTCTTTCAGCTTCCTTGTGTAAATTTAAACTGTTTTTCAGCAACGTTCAGCTAATGTCAGCTGTTTTGTGCTCCTTTTAGATTTGTTCTGCGAACTACACCATTTTTATGCTTCTTCAAATTTCTTTCTGCTAATTTCAGCTCTTTATGGTTCCTTTCAGCTTATTGCTGAAAGTTTCAAATTTTTTCTGCTATTTCAGCTACTATTTAGCCATTTTATGCTAATTTTAGCTTTTTCAGCCAACATTATTTGCACTCGCTACAACCATTTTCAGCCCATTTCAGCAGAAATGTGCTCTCCACTTTCTTCTGGTAATTTAAGCTTCTTTCTGCTTTTTCGCAACTTTTCAGCTTTTTTTTTTTTTGCCAATTTCAGATAATTTCCACTTCTTTGTGCTCACTTCTGCTTCTTTCAGTCTAATTAGGCAAACATGTTCTTTCTACTTTCTTCTGCTATTTTTTTTTATTTAACAGACTCATTTACAAGAGAGACCTGAAAATTTAAGCTTGTTCTATCTTTTCAGTTACCTTTGTAGCAGTTTTTAGCTAATTTCGGCTGTTTTCAGATAAATTCAAAGTTTTTCATGGTACCCAGTAATTTCTGCAACTTTCAGCCTAATTAAATTCTTTATGCTAATTTCAGCTTGTTTTGCTACATTCAGCTATTTTCTGCTACTTTCATCTTTTTCTGACATTTGAGCTACTATTTAGCTGTTTTATGCTAGTTTTAGATTTTCAGCTAATTTCAGATTGTTCCACTTCCTTCTGTTAGTTTAAGCTTCTTTCTGACTTTTCAGCTATTTTTTTTCCCCCAATTTCAGCTTTTTATAGCTAAATTCCATTTTTGTGTGTGCACATTTCTGCCTATTTAAACTTAATGTGTTTTTCCATAACAGCTACATTTCAGAATGTTTTTTTTTTTCTTTACTAATTTCAGCAAGTTCTGCAATAAGCATTCACACAGCATTTTCAAAGGAAATGCAGTTTCTCTAGCTGGTGTAGTTTTTTCAGCTACTACAGCTGTAACATGAATTACTGGATGAGTTGAGTCGCTGACCTGCGACGAGGACAGGGAGTTGACTCCACCGTGGGAGGCCAGCTGGGCCAGTCGGAGCGTGCTGGGGTGAACTGGCGGTTCTTTGGCCATCAGAGCCTCGGCACGTTTGATGATGTCCCTCATGCGATGGATAAATCCCTCCTTCTCGGACGGGAGGATGAACTCTTTGTGCACCTGGACGTCAACAGGTAGACAAATTGTTTAGATGCAGACAACAATTATAAAATGCAAAACAACAATTTCAATATTAAAACTCCACACTTTTTTTTTAATTTTTCTGTCAGTTTGGAGCCACTGGAACATAAAACCTTTAGTCTAACTGCAGGAGGTATCAATCCCCAACTGAACGATAAAGATGGACGCCCATCCTAGTTCTGGTTCTGGTTCTGTTGGAGGTTTCTTCCCGTTAATAGGAAGTTATTCTCCATATTGTTGCCTCCGTCACATGTTCTGGATGGAGGGTTGCATCAAAGTGAAGATCTGATGCAACCTGTTGGTTTCCTCAGATTATCAACCTCTTGTTAATTTGCATTTTATAATTTACTGTGATTGTTTTGCAATAGAACGTTGCTGGATTAGTAGTCTGGATTAGTATCATATTGCTTGTTGAACTTTGTAAAGTGTCTTTACATAACTTGTTATAAATCAACACTTTAAGTCTAATAAATATACATGCAGGATTTTATTACTTTTAATAAGTTTTAAACCTCCTGAAACCCCCAAACTGTTCGAATTGGTTAGCAGAAAAAAGTGATTTTAATTTAATTCAAGAGTTTAAATAAAATGTTTTGTTTCTTCTCTTTTACAAAACTATGCTCGTTTTTGGAAAATATGTCCCCATTTAAAATAAAATTATTTAGCTCTGGGCTGTTTACGGCTGACGAGGCACCAAATCATACAGTAAAAAATTAATAAATCTGCACATTTTTGTTCTCATATCAATTTGTCTTTACATAAGCAAAAATCTATGAACGGCTGCCATCAACCACGTCTGTTTGTTTAGCTACAAAAACAGCCGAAGTGAGTGGAAAAGGTCAACAATGATGACGTATGTGAACCGTTTGGGATGGAGAGGTTCGACAGTTATGATGTTTTGAAACATATTTACGCTCAGTTTTGTTTAGTAAAGTCTGCAGATAAAAAAAGTTTTGTTTACATCGAGTAAGTACCCGCATATTTGGATTTTTTTTATAAATATATCTGGAAAACTACTGAAGTAAACAAACAGTTTCAAACTGCACCATTTGATATAGCTCACATTCAACTTTTTATGCCTGATTTTATAGTTTGCACCTTTAATTTAAGATACTTTGCAGAAATTACTAAAAAAAAACTTAATTTTAGGCCGGTCACGATAACAAATTTTGCTGGGCAATTAATTGTTTCAGAAATTATTGTGATAAACAATAATATTGTTTGAAATTTGACAATAATTTGTAATTACTGTCAAGTTTAAGAAGAAATGTTGGTTTGTTTTGAGTGTAGTACCTTTTGTGACCACCAGATGGCAGTAAAAGACTGTTTGAACCGAAGGATGGATAGTGAGGGAGCGAGCAGCGTGTCTTTAAGAAAAATGGGAGGGAGGCCACTTGATGTGACATGGGCCAACTCTCCTTCCTTTTTTTTCGGTTCTCAAAATGGCGGATGCTCGGTGTGGTTTGAGCTCTTTAGCATAACATTTTTCACACAAAGCTTTTAATAAAAAAAAAAAATCAGTAAACAAGTTCTCCGCTTCTTTTTGCAGAGAAAAACTACTTTTTAGACAAAGGCACGGGTTTCAACCGTGAATTTTGGAGCTTCGACAAGATGGAAGTTTTGTCCCCGAAGTCAGCCTGTTAGCTTAGCTCGTAGCTTAGCTTCTCAGATTAGCTGCTTTTAACGATCCAAAAACGCGATTTGGGGCGGTTAAAATGGATTTTAAAGAAAAAAGAGAAAGGGAGGGTGCAGTGAAGAGCACCGGAGTTGAACCTTTTGTCATCCAGTGTCTTCAGTAGAAAGAGAGACGCAAAGAAACTAGGGATGCATGATATTGGATTTCTAGACCTACTTACAGAGACTACATCTACTATGAAAGTAAAATACTACATTATTCTGCATGGTCTTTGTCAGTTTGGCCTGCTACCCAATACAGATGCCAAAAAGGGAGCTGACAATGATGTAACACTATATACAGTAAATATATAACATTTATAAAATAAAAAAAAACAGCTCCTTCTATATCATTGAGTTATTTTGATGGAATGGCCGATGTCCGATATTCAACTTTATCGCTAATATCGGCCGATACCGATACTATGCCGATAATATCGTGAATCCCTAAAAGAAACGATAAAGCCGATAAATGAAAATGAGGTAGATGATTTTCATTTATCATGCGATTAATTGATTTATTGTTTATCGCGATAAGCCTATTTAACATTTTATACAATTTAGATTGGCAACCTATATTTTATATAATTAAAGTGGGGTATAAAAAAAAACCAGAATAAACAAAAAATATATATTCTTAACAAAATACATCTAAAATAAAAATCCTAAACCCAGGATTCATTTAGCAGAGATTTTATTCTTCTGTAGTAAATTGTTGTTTTTGAAAAAAAAAAAAAGGGGGCGGGGGTGTTTTCACTACAGAATGACTCATTTAAAGTCCAGCTACCGAGAGGAACCGCGGAGCTGTTGTGATGCCAGCCTCCCCCTGCTGCGCCAAGACCCAGTAAACAAAAGCCCACTGTACTTAAGAGTCAGGGCAACGGCACGTTCTGCGAACAAAATGTCCTGCTGCTGCATCACACCTTGTGCACATTCAGGCTCGTGTACGTGCGCAGTCTGTTTTCTGCTGCAATAAAGGCATTAGCTTACCCGTGTCGCAGAATTCCCTGACACTAGATGAAACAGCCAGAGTTATGATAGGCAGGCAAAAAGCAGATAACTGGATTAGGATGATCGTTATACGTGTAGATAGAGCAATCTGGTAAAGAGCTGACACGGCAAATTCATTTGTTGACTTTTTAACCAAAGCGTTGAAGCTTTTAGGAAGGTATTTCCGTTATTAACCCTTAAATCTCTTTTCCGTTTACGTTCAAAATCCTTGATAATACAGAAAAATCGTCTGAATGTAAGATTTCCTTTTAAAGCCTCAGAAGAAATGTCATCCAAATCTTAATTTCTTGGCTTTTGAGCCAGAAAGGAAGATCAAATGAAAACCATCAGAGCTAAAACTTTAAATGGAGAACATTAAATTTGCAAACGCGCAAAAAAAAAATAAATGAAAGAAAATCAGTGGTTTTGTGTTGTAAAACTCAAAAGTAGCAGCAAGTTTGAAAGGACGCACACTTTCTTGGGTGATTAACTACAACTGGCTTGACTCAACCATTAAATTTTACCCCACCATCTGTTAACCTGTCTGAGTCATAAGATCAGTTAATGAGGTGGTCATTTAAAATTTAGCAGATGTCATTTCAAGTTGTACTTTGTGAGTTTCATTAAAATGCAGCCACAGGATCAGGAGATATTTTGCTAACGCTGCAGACAAATGAAAACGTGCTGGCAAAAACATCGTGGCCGTTCGTCTTAGCGGCAGGATAAAGGTCAAAGTTCATCTAAAATCAGTACTTTGAGGTTACATAGATGAGCTCCGGTGGCAAATGTGAGATGAGTTTTAATAATTAACACAAAACAGACACGAGAGCAGCTGTACCTCAGTAGAATCTACTTTAGTTCAATTTCATTTCAAAACAAGTTTTATTATTTACATTGGAACCGTTTAAGAGAACTGCGATTTAAAGCGAGTCTTGTGAAGAAGCAGCGCCGACGTGAGCTCACCATGACAGCAGCAATGTCTTCTGGGTTGTCTCCGTCCAAATCGAACTTGAAGGTCACCATCTTGTCGTTGTGCGTCTGCAGCTGACACTCCACCACTCGGTCCACTTTATCAGAGAGCTACACAGACGAAACAAAACAAAAAGAATCAATGTAACGACTCGCATTGAGCAACGCAGGAGGAGCGTGACTTTTCTGCAACACCCGTCTCTGCGCTCACTGTAAGCACGTGTGGTTAGATGTCTCCGTTAAAACAGGCGTTCAAATAAAACCCACGGAGATCTGAAGAATAACTAGAGAAACTGCATTTCCTGCAAACATGCAGTGCAGAAGAACTTGCTGAAAACAGCTGAAATTAGCTAAAAACTTGCTGAAATGTAGCTGAAATGGAAGAACAAACCTAAATTAGCAGAAGAAAGCAGAAATGAGCACAAGAATTAGGAAATTAACAACAACAAAAAAGCCTGACATTAGCAACAAAAAAAAATGAAAAGGCAAAAAGAAGCTTAAACTACTAGAAGGAAGCAAATTAACTGAAATGAGCTAAAAAAAAAAGTGTGGAATACGCAAAAAAAGCTAAAATTAGCATAGAAAAAGCTGAAACTAGCAGGAAAAAAGCAAAACAAGCTGAAAGTAGCACAAAGTTAATTAGGCTGAAAGTAGAAATCAACATGAAAAACTTGAATTTATCTGAAAGAGCTGAAATTAGCTTAAAAAAAAAAAAAGCTAACACATAATAAGCAGAAAAAAAGCAGAAAGAACATGTTTGCCTAGTTAGGCAGAAAGAAGCAGAAATTAACACAAAAAAGTGGAAATTATCTTTAATAAGCTAAAATTAGCTAAGAAAATAGCTGAAAAGTAGCTAAAACAGCAGAAAGAAGCTGAAAATACAAGGAGGAAGTGTAGAGAGCACATTTTGGCTGAATTAGGCTGAAAAAAGATTAAATGAGTGCAAAAAATGTGGAATTAGATGAAAAAGCTAAAGTTAGCATAAAAGCAGCTAAATAGTAGCTGAAATTAGCAGAAAGAAGTTAAAAGAAGCACAAAAATATTGTAGTTATCAGAAAGAATCTGAAAGGAGCACAAAACAGCTGAAAAAACTGCTGACAGAAGCTGAGAAACAGTTTATATCTGCACAAGGAAGCTGAAGCAGAACAAAATGTAAAGGAGCAGTAAAAGGCTGTAAACAGACCTAAAGATGTGAAGGATGTAAAATGAGCTCAATTCATTTTCTACGAGGAAAAAATGGCAGAAAAGGCTAAACATTTAAAAAAGCTAAAGTTGCAGCAATACCAAAGGTCAAAGCACCGTTCTCCTGAACGAGCTGAATGTTTTGATTTATGATTTGTTGAAATGGTGCCAAAATTGTGGAACGAGAAAGACGCTGAAAAACGTACGGAAGAAAAATGGATCACAACTGTGTGAATGTTTATGGAACGTTCACTCCATTGTGCGATTGTCAAAGAAAAACAGCACGGACAACGTCACGCAGCCAGGGCGGAGCGGGACCACGAAGTTGTCAAATAAATGCCTCCGCTAATTAATCGGCATGACCGAGGCTGATTTATTTGTTCATCTGTGTGTGTGGAGAGGGTGATGCATGTTTGAAGCTGTAAACAAAAGATTTAATTTATTGTACCTCAGTGATGCGAAGCCTGGAGCGTGCCCGCCTCCTGAACAGTTTGGCGGCGTTTCGCCTCGCCGCAGACTTCTCGCTCTTCTCAGACAGGCCCTCGTAACCGTCGCTCAGACCCGACGTGACGTCGGAGGCGTAGCTGCACAAACACAGACTCCATGTGAGATCCTTGTGGATACTGATTTCACTTGTTTAACAACTTAAACGGCTCATCGTCTATAAAGTGGTGGGGTAAAAACATTATTACCCTCGGCCTTTAGGTGGCAGGCGACAATAAACAGCACATTAAAGTGCCACGGAGTATCAGCAGTCCAGAAGAACCTGATGTTCATCGTATGTGTATCGTTCATACGACGAGCACGTTCAGCGTTCACTGGAGTTCATTCAGCGTTATTTTATTTAAAAAAAACACCTTCGGCTCGGCTAATTGCATCTCCTGGGTCGTTTTCCATCACTGTAGTTACAATCGTCGCTCACCTCCCTGACGCAGGCTGCAAACATTTACAGCCTGCCGCTCGGCAGCGACCGCCTGGCTGTCTCTATTTAACACACGCAGCTTCCGTTCAAAGTGAAGCCTGTTTTCACCTTCAAGTCCAGAGAAGATGAACAGAACTAGAAAACGCATTTCCTGTACACGACGCACGGCGAGGCGGCTCAGTCCCAACAGATTTATCTGACGACTGAGGTGGGACGTTGAAAAACAGAAGAACAGCAACATGGTAGTTAGGCTGCCTTCAGGCTCAGGCCTCTGTTGCTAAAGAGATCTGTGATCTCACTGGGAATTAAATAAAGGTTAATAAATACAAGCGAAAAGTAGCTCAACAAATGCAACAGCTAAAATGAGCAAAACTAACTGAAATGAGCAAAAAAGTCCCTAAAAGTAAATCAACAGATGCTAAGATTAGCTAAACCGCTGCACTTACATGCTAGTTAAAAGTAGCTTAACGGCAACTAAAAACTGCAACACAAATGATTAAGCTAAAACTGATAAAAATATGTTAAAATTATGAAAACAGTTGCTAAATGTAGCACTCATGCTAAAGATACAGGTAAAACAGCAGCTTAAATTAGCAAATTCAATGCTAATGTTAGCAAAACTATTGCTAAAAGTAGCAAAAACAGATGCAAAAGCTAAATTTAAAACAGTAGCTAAAATTAACCAAGTAGATGTTTAAAACAGCAAATCAGTAAGCTAAAATAAGCAAAGTGTATACTACAGCTAAACAGCGGTAAAAATTAGCAATAAAGGATGCTAACGTTAACAAAACAGTAGCTAAAGTTGCAAAATTGATGGCAAAACTAAGATTAGCTAAACAGGTGCTAAAATAAAAAGAATAGCTACAACTAACAAAACTGATGCTTTAGCTCGGCTTTAGCTGAAGCAGAAGTTTAAATAAGCATAGGTGATGCTGATGTCGGCAAAACTGTAGTTAATCTGGCAAAACAAATGCTAAGCTAAAATCATTAAAGAGTAGTTGCAATTAAGAAGCTGTACCTAAAAGCTAAAAGGACAAAAATGGTAAGTAAAAAGCTAAAAGTTGGATAAGAAGTTAAAACGGAGCACGTAGCAGATTTCAAAGAGAACAGCGTCGTTCTGTGAGAATTGTATTTTACATAAAGATTAATACTTTTGAAGTTTAAAAGTCACAGCACACGATTCTCGGTCGAACTGAACGCCGTTACATACGAACGGGTAAAAAAGTCCAACGTGTGCAAAAGAAACTAAAGAAAGTTTTTCCAAGCTAGATGTGAAACTAAACTAGAGAACATGCATTTCATGCAAAACTGCAGTGTGAATGCTTATTGCTGAAGAACTTGATGAAAAACAGCTGAAATTAGCTAAAAACATGCTGAAATGTAGCTGAAGCCCAAGATAGTAGATGAAAGCAGAAAAATCACATATTTGCTAAAAATGATTTAAATAAGCAGAAATGAGCACAAAAATAGTAAATTAGCAAAAAAGAGCTGAAATTAGCAAAGAAACAGTAGCTGAAAAGGCAGGAAGAAGCTTACATTACCAGAAGAAAGTGGAGAGTACAATATTAGGCATAAAGCAAAAATGAGCACAAAAAAGTGGAAGATATCTGAAAAAGGCAGAAATTTGGACAAAAAACAAACAAACAAACTGCTGAATAGTAGCTGAAAAAAGTAGACAAAAGCTAAAGTTACCAGAATGAAGTGGAAACAGCACATTGTAATGAATTAAGCTGAAAAAGTTTAAATGAGTAAAAAAAAGTGGAATTACCTGGAAAAAAGCAGAAGTTTGCACATAAAAAAAAAACAAAAATAGCTGAATAGTAGCTGAAAAAAGCAGGAAGAAGCTAAAATTACCAGAATGAAATGGAGACGGCACATAGTGCTGAATTAGGCTGAAAAAAGTTTAAAAGAGTACAAAAAGGTGGAAATTATCTGGGAAAAAAAATACAGAAATTTGCAAAGAAAAACAGCTAAGTAGCAGCTAAAGAAGCAGAAACAAGCTTAAATTACCAGAGGAAATGGAAAGAGCACAAGTGTGCCCAAGTAGGTTGAAAGAAGCAGAAATAATCACAAAAAAGTGGAAATTATCTGAGAAAAGCAGAAATTTGCAAAAAAAAAAAAAAAACTGTTGAACAGTAGCTAAAAAAGCAGAAAGAAGCTTAAATTACCAGAAGGGGAGCACATTTTTGCTGAATTAGGCTGAAAAAAGTTCAAATGAGTGCAAAACATGTGTTAGCTGAAAAAGCTAAAATTGGCATAAAAACAGCTAAAGGTAGCTGAAATCACAGAAATAGCTGAAACTTGCAGAAATAAGTTGAAAGGAGCAGAAAAAGTGGAAATTAGCAGAAAGAAGTTAGAAGAAGCACAAACATGTTGTAGTTAGAAGGATCAAGTTGAAAGGAGCACAAAACAGCAGAAATTAACTGAACTGTTTTGAAAATTTGCACAAGGAAGCTAAAAGAAGCTGAACTGGAACAAAATGTGAAAGGAGCAGTAAAAGGTTGTTATGAACCACTGGAAGTGTTTTAATGGAGCCCTCAAAACCTACAAGAGTCGAGATAATAAAGTGCTGTTTGACGACTCACATGAAACTTTATTTGTCTAATAAGAAAATAAATGATAATAAAAAAACATCTACAATTAAAGACCTAGCATCCCTTGAAAGAATGCATATCACTCACTAGAGTTTTGAACTGACTAAGTTTAAAATGACGACGTCTTAGTCATTACGGTCAAGTGTTTAAAATGACATGTATGTGTGATCTGTTAAAGCTCAGAGCGTGTGTTTGGAATGACTCTCAGCTACTACCAGAACAAATCAGCTCAACATCTGTACGACTGCACTGTAGCCATTTTTATGTTAAAGGCTGTGACTTTAGAGTTCCATTAAAACACTTCCAGTGGGTCATTAGATATTTTGCTAACAAACAGACAAGCAAACGCACCGACATGATCAAAATTAAAAGTCTCAGAGGATTCTGTGAACATTTTCTCGCCTACGTCAGCTCTCGCTGAGAGCAAAGTCTCTATCGCTAAACATCTGCATGTGCACGAGTCGCAGCCGAACGAAGAGCTGCGAGGGTCCGGTGCGCCTCGCTGCAATAAAAACAGCAGAGTTTGCTGGGGGGCCTTGAGCTTGTTGTTTCAGCCCCACAGATGTGGAGGAGAGGCCTTTCCTCGAGTCACATTCACCTCCAGGCCCCTCGTCCCACTGGAGAACGGTGTCCGGCTTCACCGCTCCGTAAAACAAGAAGAGCGGTAAATAAAGAGCAGCCGTACCTGTCCACAGGTGAGCTGAAGTCGCTCGCAGGTCTTGAATGTCCAAGCTCTGTGTTACTGAGAACTGCGATACTCTAGAATGACAAAACGAGAGACGTGGTTAAGTAAACATGAAGGAAAAAGAAGAACATCAGCTAAAGGAACTGTTTCCTACAACGTTTTTTTTTATTTACTTCAAATTAGGCACCAAGTTGATTTCTGACCAAGATGATGGTTCTGTTTGGACAGAAATTCAGTTCAGCCACGTCTGTCCAGACTCAATCAGCTACACGCAGCTCAAATATTTACATTTTAAAATAAATTTAGTCATGTTTGTGTAAAAACTAACATATTCTAATAAATAATTGTGTGAATGTTTATGAATAATTCACACTATTGTGATTTTTCTTCCGCATCTTTCTTGTTCAACAATTTTTGTTCCATTTCAACAAATCATGAATCAAAACGTTCAGCTCGTTCAGGAAAAGGGTGCTTTGACTTTTGGTATTGGTGCAACTTCAGCTTTTTGAAATATTTTAGCCTTTTCTGACATTTTTCTCTCATAGAAAATGAATTGAGCTCATTTTACATCCTTCAGATCTTTAGATCTATTTACAACCTTTTACTGCTCCTTTCACATTTAGTTCTGCTTCAGCTTCTTTCAGCTTCCTTGTACAAATTTAAACTTTTTTCAGCTACTTTCAGCTGTTTTGTGCTTCTTTCAGGATCTTTCTACATCATTTTTGTGCTTCTTCTGACTTCTTTCTGCTAATTTCAGCTCGTTATGTTCCTTTCACCTTATTTATGTAAGTTTCAGCTATTTCTACTATTTCAGCTTTTTTATGCTAATATTAGCTTTTCAGCTAATTCCACATTTTTTGCACTCATTTCAACTTTTTTCAGCCTAATTCAGCAAAAATGTGCTCTCTACACTTCCTTCTTGTAATTTAAGCTTCTTTCTGCTTTTTAGCTACTTTTCAGCTGCTTTTTGCTAGTTTCAGCTTTTTCAGATAATTTCCACTTCTTTATGCTCATTTCTGCTTCTTTCAACCTAACTGGGTAAACATGTCTTGCTGCTTTCTTCTGCTAATTTAAGCTTGTTCTATATTTTCAGCTAGCTTTTTAGCATTTTTTAACATGTTTTCAGATGAATTTTAGTTTTTCGTGGTAATTTCTGCAACTTTCAGCCTTATTACCTTCTTTCTGCTAAATTCAGCTTGTTATGCTCTTTTCAGTCTTTTTCTGCTACTTTCAGCTTTTTTCAGCTCAATCTACTTCTTTGTGCTCATTTCTGCTTCTTTAAGCCTAATTGGGCAAACATGCATTTCTTTCTGCTTTCTTCTGCTAATTTAGGCTTACGCTTTCATTTCAGCTACATTTCAGCATGTTTTTAGCTAATTTCAGCAGTTTCTCTACAAGTTCTTTTGCTATATGCATTCGCACTGCATTGTTGCAGAAAACACAATTTCTCTAGTTATTATTATATTAACACATTTACATGTAACAGGCTATGTATGTTTATAATAAAGCTAGTTATTTACCAAACTATGGTACATAAACTAGAAATTACTTCCAAGAAAATGCAAATAAATATAAAGAATGTGATCTAACTTGAGTGAAACAAATGAAAACTAATTTATTGTGGTGCAGATAAGAAACCATCAATTAAGTAATTAAAAGCCTTGAGAACAGACAGAGCCGTTTTAGTCAAACTGTTGTGCGGGATCCGTTAGCTCTCACAATGCATCTTGTGAATGACCCTCAGCGACTACCACACCTAATCTGAGCTCCTTACGTAGAAAATTGGCAAATTTAGAGCCAGTTTTGTGTTGGATAAGTCCAATTAGCTGTGACAGCCAATTTAAAGTGGGTTTACTCCAAAAGATAGTGTTTTAGAGTACATTCATTGAGTTTTATTCAAATCTGACCAGTAGTTTGAGAAATATTTTGCTAACAGACAAACAAACGCACAGACAGGCAAAGACATGATCGCTCTTTGGCCTTCAAAGTAAAATAAATTGTAGTTTATATAAAAATCAGGAGGAAAACCATCCTCTCTCTTCAGAACTAGCATAAATGTCAGTGTTTTGAGGAACAGATGCCAAAAAAAGAAGTGGTCCTGTAAAGACCCGTGTTCCTCCACAGGTCCACAAGCAGCTCACCGAAGGGAAGCGCAGGGCTGGGATGGGGAGACCGTTCCCTGCGGGGCTGCTGGTTTGCGTGTTTGGAGGGGATGCTGGGGAGTTAAAGCTGCTGGCGTCCAGCGGATCCTGAAGCCCGGAGGAACTCTGGTCGCCGTCAGTCTCACAGTCAGCTGTTTCAACAAAGACACAAACTATTAACCAGCTGTGACCGGAAAAAAAACTGCACGGTTTTAACTCGAGCATGCAGGATCCGTACGCACATCTAAGGGAGACAGATCAGACCGGAGTATCATCGTCTTAGCTGTTTAAGATGAGGATAATTTTAAAAAAGTGATAAATATTCTGCAACTACAGCACAGTCCTTGAACGCACCATGAGACACGACCTACAGGGGCTGAATAATTCACTTATCCACCGGATCACATTCCTAGGTCGCTCTGATGTGATCTGAACGGCTCGGTTCTGTACAGCCCGACAACTTGTGCACAAAGTGGATCACAGCAGGTCCAGTTTTGCGCACGCTAACTTTGTTAAACGTAATTAAATGCATCTTTTTGCTGAGAGACTTCAGAAAAAAGTAGGTAAAGTTTTTTCTTCAAATCAGGCCGCTTCAGTGTTTATATAAACGTAGAAGTGCAAACACAGTAGTCCCTCGCTGCTTCGCGGTTCGTTTATCGCGGACTTGCTCTATCGCGGTTTTTCAAAATAAGATTGGACATGACGCACAAATGGCTGATTGATGGATGAGCCGCACGATCGGCATAGAATTTTAATTTAAAATTAATTTTAAATTGTTTAGCATCTGCTGCACCTTTGTGCAGCCCATACTGCAGGATAAACTTCCTGCTGCAGCTGCTCAGCTGCTCTGTGTGCAGAGCTGAGAAGTGGGCGTGGCCAAGAGCACTTGCAGGTGTCAAAGAGTAGAGGAGGCAGAGCTGAAATCATGACATTCTGTGCTCTTTTGGAGCGTTTAGAAACATTGTTTAGAATATTGCAAGAGTGTGGGAAAGGTTTTAAATGTATATGTATATATATATATATAATAAACTACTTACTAATTGCACTACTATTCGTACTTTGCGGTTTTTCACTTATCGCGGGTCTTCAGGGTACGGTTCCCCAGCGATAGACGAGGGACCACTGTATTATCCAAAACAATTCAAGTGCACGCATCAGTTTTTTTTTTTTTAAAGGTGATGCTAGAAAATACTGCTGATGTAACTAAACTAAAACAATAAAACGAGGAAGTTTTATTTCAAATGGTAGCCTATCTTTTGGAAATATAGCAAGGCTATTCAACTAAATTGCTCAAGGGCAAGAAATCCATCAGTTAGTCATTAAGTTTGTTTTACAGTTTAAAATCTAGTTTAATTTTAAAATGAGCCCATTGTTGGGCCCAATTGAGCTCACCATTGGGCCTGGTTTGGCCCCCGGGCCGCCAGTTGAATAGCCCTGGAATATAGTGTGAAGTTTGTTCTGATTGATCCAGAGGCGATCAGACCTGCAGGATCAATCAATCAATCAATCAGCGCCGACTTCCTGCAGTCGAATCACCCGAGGCGTGTGATAGTTTTATGCCAACACTGACTCCGTCTGTAGTGACCGTTTGATGTGGGTGCAGTGAGATGTTTTGTGAGATGTTTCAGTCGGTTTGCCGACAGACACGTTCCACAGTTCGAGACGGAACGTTAGGAAGCTCACAGTTAGCAGAAGACAGGCTGTTGTAGCGGACGTGGAAGTGCTGATCCGCCTCCGGTTCCTCTGGCTCCGCGGGGTAGCTGGAGCCGACCCCGGAGTCTGCAGAACTGGTGACGGGCGACAACATAGAAGCCAAGGGTGTCAGCGTTGGGGTGGGGGACTCGGCCAGGACCGCGTCGTTGAATTTGGGCGAGGGCGGCTGCGGCTCCGGTTCTTCTTCTATCGCCTCCTGCGCCTGCTTCCTCCTCCGCTCCTCCGCCTGCCGCTTCAGCTTCTCCCTCTGCCTCTTGATGGCCGTCACTCTGTCCCGTATGGCCTTGGCCACGATTTTGAAGTCCGCCTCGCACACAAAGCCAAGCACGACCTGCAAAACAGCGCACGAGGGAGGTCGCGTTAAACGGGTGTTGGAGTTCATGTAAAGCATGCATGCAGGCCTGCTGACCCGATTAGACAAGCACGACATTCGTTTCGTAACACCACATGTGGGCTGCATCCCTTCAGCCATTTCAGAGTCTCCAGTTGCCTGCTGGGATAACCGACTGAGCGGAGCGGCACATTCTGCCTCTCAACACTTAGTCAAATTGCATCCGACTGGCCGGACTAGATGTCCCCTGCCGATACCAAATTTGATCTTGATGAAATCTCCCACAAAGACGTAAACAACTGTGGTTTCATTAAAAGTGACCTCCACGAGGAGAACAGGAGGCAGTTTTGAGTACACGGGGATCTTTTTCTTAACAAGCACGAGAGGTACGATCATTATTAAAGACGTAAGATCCATCCTCGGACGCTCCGCTCACATTTCCAGCCAGCAATGATTAAATGTTGAGCCGTGACCTTGACACGTGCACTGGAATGTGCTCTCCTCACACCCTTTGGCACATTTACATACTTCGCATGCCATTAAATAGCAAGCGCTCTTGGCCACGCCCACTTCTCCACTCTGCATGCATATCAGCTGATCAGCTGCAGCAGGAAGTTTATCCTGCAGTATGGGCTGTACAAAGGTGCAGCAGGTGCTAAATAATTTTAAACGATTTATTTTAAATAAAAATTCCATGCCTATCGTGCGGCTCATCCATCAATCAGTGCGTCATGTCCAATCTTATTTTGAAAAACCGCGATAGAGCGAGTCTGCGATCAACGAACCGCGAAGACCAGTTTCAGTCCAAGCAGTTTATTTGTTCCCAGCTTAATTTTTATGCCACATAAACGACAGAAGAAGAAGAAAAAAGATGGAGAACTAAAACGTGCTAAATGTGCTGGAATCCCAGAGAACAAGAAACGTGGTTTTCAAAACGATGGAAAAGGCCGACTCGTCCACGTCGAAGAAATTCTGCTGCTGAAAAGGCTTTTTTTAAATTTTACATCACACCAAGATTTTTTTTTCCACTTGTAAGCTGAAGAAAAGCTATATTGATTAACGCAACTATATTTTTATTTTCTTTTAAAGTAAAACTGTAATCAAGGTGTAATCTTATTTCATGCAGCATCGAGACAACAACGGCACAAACTTTTTGTTTTCCTCTTCATAGTTTCTTCAAAATGTTTGTTTTAAACCGTTAATATTTAAAAATGTTCAATTCGATCAGGAATATTGTGGTTCAACTTTAAGTATTTGTGACTTTTATGCTTTTTGAATCGTTTAACTTTATAAAAATAAAAATAAAATCCCATAGAAATACAGACCTCTCTCCAGTTCTTTCAAAAAATATTGTTCCACGAAAAAAAATACTTTAACCTCTATTTTTGTCTTCTTATGCTCCTTTTAGCTTTTAGGTAGCTAATTTTTTGCGGTTAGCAATGGTTTTTGCTCATGCTAGCTTTTAGCTTTGTTGCTAATTTCAGTTCAGCTTGTTTTAACAAATTATTTTCAGCTTTTTTCAACAAATTTCATCGGTCATTAACGCAAATTTATATAATTTGTCTTTTAGAGCTTCTTAACCAAAATGCTCATTGGGGAAAAAAAAGCCTGAAACTCCAAACCCAAAATAAATGTTTGTGTACATTCAGAGAAGCATGCTTTTATTTTGATACAAACGTGAGCAGTCGAGGAGAACCCATAAAAAGCCATCGTCATAAATCAAGACTGATGCAGAAAACATTTTGAAGCTGCCTCTTCAGTATCTGGAGTCAATTACTCAATTTCCTCCCCAACGACTGCCACCGACCGGGTCGAACAAAACCGTAAACGATGACGTCATCCGTCCTTCCTACCATCTCCTGAGCCACCTCCTCGGGCACGTCTTTGTAGAGCTCAAAGAGGAACTCGATGGCGTTGTTGTCTTTGTACTTCCCGTGGAGCTTCTTGATGTCGTCCATGCGCAGCCACAGCTTCAGGTCAGGCTTCACCATGTCGTCCTCCTCGGCCAGCTCCACGTGCACGCCGTTGTTCTCCTGGAAGAAGGGGTGCTCCAGCAGGTCCTGAATGGTGTACCTGCAGGAACAAAAAGGGGAAATCGGTCAACGCAAACGGTGTTTTAACGTTATATTCCTGTGGTCAGTTTTGAGAACGTTTTCTTACCTTTCGTCTTTAATCATGCGAATGCAGCCCTCAATGATCTCTTTGAGTTCTGGGACTTTTACTTTGTAGAAACTGTCCGGTTTGATGCCCTGTGAAGGCACACAAAAATAAAAATAAATAAAACAAGTACGTTTCGTCTGTTTGTAAAATGCTGACGGCTCTCTCGTCCGTAAGCAGAAAAAAACGAGTGAAATGAATCTGAAGCTGTGAAGAGCATCGCACAAACAAAGAGTAACAAAGAGTTAGAATCCTGGTAAACTAATAAAAAAGAAAAGTAGGACAGGAAAACGCGAGGTCGAAGAGATGCACGGCCTGACGCTACGGACGCATCCGGAAGACGTTCGGTCAAACCTAATTCTTTTTTTTTTTCCGGCAGAAGACTGAGCTGCGTTTCGTTATCACATCTAAACACGGACATCCTCGCTGTATCTGCTGCTTTTTATCACCACAAACAGTTCATCAGGATGATCCCAGCTTCCTGGTAGAAGGAGACAAAAAACAGATCTCTGGAAAATAAATAAAAATTTTAAAAAAAGGACAGGGGACATTTTTTTTTTCGGAGTGAGCTACAAGTCTTGGAAGGACATTGTGATTGTTACACAACATCTGCTGAATTCACAGTTGTTTTCCAGACATCTTTGGACTCAAACTACTTCTGCAAACTTTGTGCTAGTTTGGCCGTTCACAAACTAAATCTTTCATCTCGGTCGTAAATAGTGTGCAAGGACTACTTTTTTTTAAATTTGATTCTTTTCAGAAAAATAAACTTTATTTAAAATAAATATTCTATAGAAATACATAGAGATCCCTTCAGTTTATTCATAAACAATTGTTTTTGAAATCTGCTTCTGTGTTCTTATATTTTTGTCTTCTTACGCTACTGTTAGCATTCAGTTGGTGTTCAGCCACTTAAAGCTTTTAGCTACGGTACTGTGTCATGGTCCTTAAACCTGGTACTGGGAGCTTTGGTGCCATGTGCAGGTGCCAAGTCCTGTTGGAAAATTAAGTCTGCATCTCCATAAAGTTGGTCAGCAGCAGGAAGCATGAAGTGTCAAACTTCCTGGACCTCAGAAAACACAGTGGACCAACACCAGCAGATGACAAACCATAACTGACTGTGGAAACTTGACACTGGACCTCAAGCAACGTGGATTCTGTGCCTCTCCTCTCTTCCTCCAGACTCTGGGACCTTGATTTCCAAAGGAAATGCAACATTTACTTTCATCAGAGAACAGAACTTTGGACCACTCAGCAGCAGTCCCAGGTGAGACGCTTCTGACGCTGTCTCTTGTTCAAAAGTGGCTTGACACAAGGAACGCGACAGCTGAAACCCATGTCTTGCATACGTCTGTGCGTGGTGGTTCTTGAAGCACTGACTCCAGCTGCAGTCCACTCTTTGTGAATCTCCCCCACATTTTGGAATGGGTTTTGTTTCACCATCCTCTCCAGGATGCAGTTATCCCTATTGCTTGTTCACTTTCTACCACATCTTTTCCTTCCCTTCACCTCTCTATTAATGTGCTTGGACACAGAGCTCTGTGAACAGCCAGCCTCTTTAATGGTCGTCTTTTGGACAACTGTCAAGTCTGCAGTCTTCCCCATGATTGTGTAGCTACAGAACTAGACTGAGATCATTTAAAGGCCTTTGCAGGTGTTTTGAGTTAATTAGCTGATTAGAGTGTGGCTCCAGGTGTCTTGAATATTTAACATTTTCACAATAGTCTAATTTTCTGAGATACTGATTTTGGAGTTTTCATTAGTTGTCAGTTATAATCATCAACATTAAAAGAAATAAACATTTGAAATATATCAGTCTGTGTGTACTGAATGAATATAATAAACAAGTTTCACTTTTTGAATGGAATTACTGAAATAAATCAAATTTTTCATGATATTCTAATTTTATGACCAGCACCTGTATATAGCTTGTAGCTCTCGAGCTACTCTGAGCTTTATCAGTGGTGATACTTTTCGTTTTTACCATTTTTGCTGCTTTAAGTTTGTAAGTAGTAGTTACTTTTAGCTTTAGCATTTGTTCTGCTTGTTTTAACGTCAATAAATTTTATTTTTTTTCTTCATATTTCAGCTAAGACATTCAGTTTTCAGCCTTCACTGCTTTTCCAATAATGATATTTTTGCAGCTAAATTAGTGTTTACATACAGTCTCCTCTTAAAAGAGTAGATGCGAACTGAAAACGCACCCCCCCCCCCCCCCAAAAAAAAAAAAGCTTAATTGAATTTTGATTAGTAAAATGCACACGGCTGTTGTTTCTTAAGCCGATTGCTTCAGTGTCAGGACCTTAGAAATAAATCATTCTTAATTGATCCAAATCTAATTAGTGGCTCTGCTCCTTTCCTGTGATGATGGAAGTTCAGATAAGGTCCAGAGAAAAACGTTGGTGTCATACCGACTGTTTAGCCGTTTCCATCTCAACCCTCTCAAGTAAAATTTGGTATTTCTTTAACTAAACGCTACAGAGTGAAAACAGCGTTAGCCGTTTTCCATGGGATCAGTTCAGAGTGGCTTCAGAGTCTTTCCATTGGGTGATCCCAGCCGCCTCCAGCTCGGTTCTCAGGATCTACTCGTCAGAGGTTCCAAACGAGTCAAGCCAAAGATCAGACGTCAGCAGACCGCAGGACATTGATCGATCGAAGAGCGACGTCAATCATGTGAATCTCCTTCACAAGAATCGAACTCGCCGTGATCAAACCTCGAAACAGCAATGCTCGTTTTTGACTTTTTTTGAACCAAAGTTTTGGGCGGCTGCTGTAGGAAGATCCCGCTCACATCGAGGCGGCAGCCATAGATCGAAAACTACGAGGCCCTGTAGACCCGAGTTGAATTGAAGCGAGTCAGGACGAAGAAAGAACCGTGTATTTAGAAACCGTACCATTGTTTTCCAATTCCTGTTGTAATCATGTTACTGTCTTTGTGCAACTAAATTAATAGAGTGAATGTTTATGAAGCATTCGCTCGAGTGTGATCCATTTTTCTTCCGTACATTTTTGGGAGTGATTCTCATCCCACAGTTTTTAAACTATTTCAACAAATCCTATATCAAAATGTTCAGCTCTTTCAGGACAATCCAGCTATGACGTTTGGTATTGGTGCAACTTTAGCTTTTTGAAACATTTAGCCTTTTCTGCCACGTTTCTTCTCATAGAAACTGAAATGAGCTCATTTTACATCCTTCATATCTTTAGATCTGTTTACAAACTTTTACTGCTCCTTTCATATTTTGTTCTGGTTCAGCTTCTTTCAGTTGTCTTGGGCAAATTCTATCACTTTTAAGCCATTTTCAGTTAATTTCAGCTGTTTGTTTCAGCCGTTTTGTGCTCCTTTCAGATTATTTCTTCTAACTACAACATTTTTGTGCTTCTTAACTTATTTCTGCAAGTTTCAGCTTTTTCTACTATTTAGCTGCTTTATGCTAATTTTAGCTTTTTCAGCTAATGTCACATTCTTTGCACTCATTTCAACTTTTTTCAGCCTAATTCAGTAAAAATGTGCTTTCTACTTCCTTCTGGTAATTTAAGCTTCTTTCTAAAATTTTTAGCTACTTTTCAGCTGTGGTTTTTTTTTTTTGGCTAATTTAAGCTTTTTTCAGATAATTTACACTTTTGTGCCATTTCTGCTTCTTTCTGCGTAATTGGGCAAACGTGTTCTTTCTACTTTCTTCTGCCAATTTAAGCTTGTTCAACCTTTTCAGCTAACTTTTTGGGATTTTTTTTTAGCTAATTTCAGCTGATTTCAAATCAATCCAAAATTCTCGTGGTAATTTTTGCTACTTTCATCCTAATTAACTTCTTTATGGTAATTTCAACATGTTATGCTCCTTTCAGCTTTTTTTCCTGCTAGTTTCAACTTTTTCTGCTATTTTCAGCTATTTTATGCTAATTTTAGCCTTTTCAGCTAACTCCACATTTTTTAGCTCATTTCAGCTCTTTTTGTTTCCTTCTGGTATTTTACACTTTCTGCCTTTTCAGCTATTTTCAGCTATTTTTTGTGCCGATTTCAGTCTTTTTTTTAGCTAATTTACTTATTTGTGCTCATTTATGTTTATTTAAACCCAATTCAGCAAATATGTGTTCTTTCTGCTTTCTTCTGCCACGTTAGGCTTGTTCTTCCATTTTCATCTACAATTTCAGCATGTTTTTAGCTAATTTCAGCCGTTTTTCAGCAAGTTTTTCAGCAATAAGCATTCACACTGTATTTTCACAGAAAAAACAATTTCTCTATTTCAAATTTACCTTTTTTTAACATATTTTTGCACTTCATATAACTTATTCAGACCTCTTATTGGGATCACCTCTCAAACCTTTTCTACCACTTACAATGGATTCCACTAAACGAAAACCTACTGCAAGCTGAACGTTGAGTAACATCAAGTGATCTATATCTCCTTGTTTTCTGTTTCAACCTGACAAATCCCCCGTGCAGAAACAGTTTTACTGAGTTTATCATGGAACAGCAGGAAGCTCCGACCTTTCCCAGATCAAAAACCTTTAGAACAAGCGTGAACGTCAAACCGGGCCTCATCGTTCAACATCAGTGTCGGACCCTTTCGAGTGAACAGGAGACGCGTCCCTGCAGCTGTGTTCCAACATCTGGAGTAAAGCCTGCTCAGAAGAGCAGAGGATGTTGTAGCAGCAAATTAATGACCCAGAGTAAGATTTTAATCTGCCGCTGAAACGCCCCAGAATCCACACATCTCAGCACGTATCAATAAAAAAAAAAAAAAAAAAAAAAAAAAAGCTTTTTCCTCCAAAAAATAAATAAATAAATGGCTCCAAACACCTTCTGCCAAGATCAATCCCCTGAAATCTGAATATAAACACAGAGAATTAGAAAGCTTTCCTTTCAGGCTCCACCTCTTTGCCAAATTTAATTTCTTCTGGTCAGGAAGGTTTTTGTAATATTCAACAGGTAAAAAAACAAAAAACAAACAAACAATCTGCAATAAAAACACGCACACACCTGCGTCTCGGCTCTTTTGGCTGAAGGATCTAAAAGCTTTTTAAGAACACGTTCAAGCAGAGTCTGTAAACCTGATCTTGTTTGTTTTCGCATGTCGAGCTTTATTTCTCGCTAAAGGCCTCTTTGACTGCAAATTACTTCAAGCACAAGTCAACAACTCAAGAGGGCACACAGTTTGGAGGTTAGCGCTGCAAAAAATTAAAACGCATTTCACATGAACACAAACAACTAATGAGAAACGCTTGGACTTTTCAATGTTTCTGTGTGGGGAACATTATAGCGCTCGTGTCTGTGATGAAGCCAGACCCACTTTAACTATTTGGCATTATCACCGTCTCACTTTCCAGCCGCCATCAGACGCTGTTTGTTTGTGACACACTGTAAAGAAACAGCCTTCTCTGTAAAGTAAAGAGCGAGACACTTTTTCCAAAACATATAATTCTGCCGTCGCCTGCTCTTACCCACCGTAGCCCCACTGCTTCACTAAGTACACAGGAAAAAGCTTGAAAAAACAGCAGCCAAACGCCTCCTACCTGGGCTTTTTTTAAAGTCTTATTTTTCCAGAATGAAGCTTCTCTTTCATGCTCGGTGCAGGAAAATTATTACAATTTGCAATATGCGTGTTGTGTGTTAAAACATGTTTTCTCCAAAGCTTTCATACGAAACGCCAACATCTGGGTCAAGAGGTCACCAGTTCAGAAGCGTGACAATGTAGGGACAGTTCTATTGAAAATGGCACGTAGAGCTGGTTAAACGGGATCTTTAAGCTGAAAATCAATACGTAAATCACGTGTTTGGTTGTGCCACGACTTCAGGCTGGAAACAGAAGGCTGAGCTTGAACAAATACTAAATAGTTGACAAAAACAAATGTAACTGGACCCAAAGCTGAGCTGTTAAAGAGGCAAAAACTAAAGTGTTAGCTAAAAGCCTAAAGTAGGAAAGGACAAGCTAAAATGTAACAAAATGCTAGCTAACAGCTCAAAGCAGCAAAAGAAATTGCCACAAGCTAAAAGTAGCAAAATCTTTTAGTATCAAATATCTATCTTAAAGTAATAAAAGGCAGGCGAAAAGCTAAAATTGTAAAAAGATAGATAAAAATATTACAAGACCATCTAAAAAGGTAAAAATAGCAAAAGACTAGCCAAAAGCTACAAGTTGCATACCAGAACCTAAAAGGTTAAAGTTTCAAAACTTCTTCTTAAAGTAACAAAAAGGATGTGTAAAAGCTAAAAGTAGCAAAAGCTTTAAGTATCAACAAATCATCTTAAAGGAATAAAAGGCAAGCAAAAAGATAAAAGTTGTAAAAAGATAGCTAAAAATATTAAAACACCAGCTAAAAGCTAAAAGTAACAAAAGGATTGCTATAAGCTACACATATTAAATGGATGGCTAAAAGGTAAAAGTAGCAGCTTTTGGGATCAAAAATCTATCTTAAAGTAATAAAAGGCAGGCGAATAGTTAAAATTGCAAAAAGATAGATAAAAATATCAAAAGACCAGCTAAAAGGCAAAAGTAGCAAAAGGCTGGCTAAAAGCTACACATATTAAATGGATGGCTAATAGGTCAAAGTAGCAAAAGGCTAGTCAAAAGCTACACGTTGCATAATAGAACCCAAAAGGTTAAAGTTTCAAAACTCTATATTAAAGTAGCAAAAGGACGGCTAAAAGCTAAAAGTAGCAAAAGCTTTTAATATCAAAAATCTATCTTAAAGTAATAGAAGGCAGGCAAAAAGATAAAATTGTAAAAAGATAGATAAAAATATCAAAAGACCAGCTAAAAAGGTAAAAGTAGCAAAAGCTTTTCGTATCAAAAATCTATCTTAAAGTAATAAAAGGCAGGCGCAAAGCTAAAGTTGTAAAAAGATAGCTAAAATATCAAAAGACCAGGTAAAAAGGTAAAAGTAGCAAAAGGCTAGCCAAAAGCTACAAATTGCATAACATGACCAAAAAAGTTAAAGAATCAAAACTGTTTCTTAATGTAACAGAAGGCTGGCTAAAAGCCAAAAGTATAAAAAGGTTAGGTAAAACCAAACAAAACATAAAATTATTCAACGCTGGTCCATTTTTTCAGTTATTTTTGTCCTGCAGTGAACACAAAATAATTCAGATTCGTTTCGTCTTATTGTAATAAGAAACCAAACGTGTGAACGGACTTGTTAGGTTAAAGGAAATAAACAATGACCCCGCCCCCCAGCCTTCCCTTCGACTCACACTGGTGACTTTGCGGTAGATCTGGGCGGCGTTTTGGCACTCGTAATACGGGTACTCGGAGGTGGCCATCTCCAGGATGCACATCCCTAAGGCGTAGACGTCCACGGCTTCGTCGTACTTCTCCTCGTACATCTCCGGGGCCATGAACTCTGGTGTTCCTGTCCGGGTTCACAAGAAAAGTCCAGTTAGTTATGGGAGCAGACTGAAGACCTCTATAAAACAACACTTAAAGGACTAACAAAAATGTTTTATAATACATAATGAGCTTTAGATCACATATGGAGTCACCAAATATATATCATTATGTCAGCTGGAGCAGCTTAGTTTATCTGCAAGAATAACAATTCATTGTACAGTAATAAAAACAAAAACATATTCACAAATTTAGCGGATTATTGATAAAAATATATATATATTTCTTCCTATCTTGCTCTCATGCAAGAAGGACACCTTTCTTCCCCCTCCAGTCCTCCTCCTCCTGCTTTTGTGCTCCGTCTTGTGTGTCGGCGCTCCAGTTTACACATCTTCCAAAACGTAAACTACTGTCATGGATCTGGTCAGCTGGACTTTCAACGATATTAAAAAAAAAAATTTTCAACAAAGCGACAGGGTCCTGGAGAGCCCTCATGCCCTGATGAGATGAACGCGGCAGGATACATCATGGATCTGATGTGCCTTTACGTATCGTCTCAGGAGGACGCCCAAGATATTGAAATCATGATAGCAGGGTTTCTGCTTTTTTGGCACTGGCGGATACCTACGTTATCGGCTATTAAAGAAGACAGCGGCAGCAGTTTCGACCATGGCAAATCTGCCGACCCTGTATGCAGGTTTGGTTCGTGCTTCGAGTATTCAAAATCAGCCGATATACGAGCTAAACTGTAAGATGGAAGCAATTTGTGAGAATCGCACGCCACTTGCGGCTTCTGGGACTTGCCAGCATGTTGGGGATGACCTTGGAGGGGGCTCATAAGCACGGACCAGTGGAATGCCCACAAATCTGGCCATTTTGGATTAAAAGTACCAGCAGAACTCAAGGCAGATGAGAAATAACAGTCTGCCTGAAAAAAATCAACAACTGTGGCTTATCTGAATCTGACTCCCCCATTTGGCCTCGAAGCAGGCCAACAATACGTGTAAACTAAGAAAGCTGTCTATCCCCCCCCCCTTCCGCGAACGCTCATCAGAGCAGTACCGACTGACACCAACATCTTAACAGGACTATGGTGCTATCTGGAAATGCTTCATGGACAAATCTCGCCATCTTGTCATCAAATGCATATGTACCGTAATGTGTTTATAAATGTGCTTGCTGGTAAAGTTATTTTGACGTCTTAAATCGTGTCCTGATAAGAACAAGGTGTGAAGAGATCTTTTTTGTAATACCACTATCTTTTCCCATGGCCTTTTCCCCCCCTTTTCCTATCTAAGAGGATAAGGGGCCATGCTCTTAGAAGCAACAGCAACATGCACTCCTCCCATCTTTCGGACGACTGTACGAACAATCTCAATGTATTTCAGTACAATGATAATAAAGCTTATTCTGATTCTGATAACCAACAACAGGTTAGCATAAACCTTTAGCGTGCAATGCATAGCAATGCTAGTCTTTTCATACGCTGTTACTAATTAGCAACAATCCAGATTAGATGAAACCACTGGAACATCCTTTGCTTTTTTTTATCTTTTCATCTGTATTAACAGAAGATACGATTAAGATACAATAAGTGTTATTTCTCCACTTAGAGCAAGAATCAGCAAGTTGTTACGCTGCATCTCATGCCTGGCATCCTATGGTTACGGCAATTTCCAGCTAAATTAAAGGCCATTTAAATAATAAGTTCCCTTTTCTTTTAAACGGAGACTCTGTCGTCTCTTTAAAAGATGAACATGCAAGCAAGGAGCAAGGGCTTGTGTGTTTCCACCAGTTATGAATGTGTGTTTAAGTCAAATTGTGTTCTAGATGTAATCGTCAGATTTTACCCACCTATGACACTTTTAGCAAACGAGGCACTTTTGAGAGTGGCCAGTCCCAGATCTCCTATCTTGACGGAGCCGGTGGGGCCGGTGATGAAGATGTTGTCACACTTGAGGTCCCGATGGATGATGGGAGGGGTGCGCGTGTGCAGGAAGTGAAGCCCTTTGAGGATCTGACGACTCCAGCGCTGCAACAGTTTCAGCTTCATCTCCTTGAACCTCTTCAGGTACCTTAAAGAAAGAAGGATAAAGGATGTAACAGATCAGTCTACACATACCTCGACACCGCAAGAAGAAAAAGCTTTAAAGGGCCAAAAGAAATTCATCATTTGACAGCCAAAAGGCAGTTTTAAAGTAGAAATATTCTGTTTTATTCCTCCACATCTAATTCAAACGTACAAGATAACCCATCACTGTAGTTGGTTTGGTATTTTATTTGTAAGACAAGTCTAATTTACAGAATATCTGCCATGTAAAACATGAGATGCGTTAAAACACGAGGGTCGAAAGGAAAAGGCTGCAGAAACTCACGTCTTGAGCGTGCCAGAGGTCATGAGCTCGGTGACGAGGATGATGCACTTGTGACCCTTCATGGTCGACTTCCAGGAGTCGTGGAAGCGGACGATGTTCGGGTGCTGGAGGCCTTTTAACATCTCCACTTCCTCGCTGAAACGCTGCCGCTCTGCCTTAGTCAGCTTACGTGTCTGCAAGGGAAAAAAAAATCTAAATGTTAAATATGCAAATATTTTCTCTATGCAGAGATCTCAAACTTCTTTGGAACATTGTTCTCTTTAAATTCAGCTACAGCTAATTTGTTCAAACTTGTCTTAATATGCTATTTTAGCTTTTCTTCTTCTTTTACTTACCATTCCACGACTTTTAGCTTCAATCAAGACTTTATTGTTTTAACATTTAGCTACCCGTTGCGGTTTTTATCTTTTAAGTAGCTTTCTGAAACTTTCAGCTAACCTTTTGCTACTTTTAGCTTGTATTTTCTGTTCTGATACTTTAGCTAACTTTGTTTTACTTTTAGTTTTTAGCAAGCCTTTTGATATATTATTTGCCATTTCTATCTTTTTGCCATCATTTGGCAACTGCCAGCGAGCTTTTTCCCTTTTTATAGCAACATTTTTGCTTTTCGCTAACGTTTTGCTATTTTTGTCTTTTAGCTAAACCTTTTAGATTTGGATACCATTTCACTACAACTTTTAGCTGCAATTTTTAGCTTCTAGCTAGTCTTTTGCTATATCTAGTCAACGCTTTGCTACCCTTAGCTACTGTTGTGCTAGTTTTAGCCACCACTTTCTAACTTTTGGTTACAATACTATATATTTTAGCTAGTCTTTGCTATTTTTAGCTTTTAGATAGCCTTGTGATATTTTTAACAGTTACCTACATTTTTGCTATTCTAACATTTAGCTAGCCTTTTGTCACTTCTAGTTAGCTTTATGCTATTTTTAGGTAATCTTTTACATCTTGTTAGTCAGTATTTTACGCCTTTTATCTTTTAGCAACTATTCTACTATTTTTAGCTCCTTTCCGTTTTAGCATTTTGCCACTTTTAGCCAAACTTTGCTGCTTTGAGCTTGTGTGTTCTGCTTCTTTTAAAGTTTAATCACTCAGTTTTAGCTCCATCAGCGCCTTTAGCTGTCACTGAGCTCTTTGCGCTCACATTTCAGTTTTGTAGAAAATGCATGTTCTCTAATTAGGATCTGATGTTTGGATGAAACGGGTTTAAACTCATTTTTACCTGTACAAGTGAAATGACGGCTGATTTACGGTGCTTTACCTTAAACCAATATTAGCACACAGTCCCTAAAGAAAACTGAAGGGGCATGACTGAATTTACGAACCATAAATTACGTTTGAAAGCTCTACAGCTGGTCACTGAACGGACCTTGAGGTGTTTGGTCAGTCATAAAACAGTCAGCTGTTCTGAAAGTTTAACACACGCTCTGCTCTTCGCAGAACTTTGCATCATCAAGCCAGTTGGTGACGATAAACACGGCAAACAAACAAAATAAATCCATGTGATAAATCATCACTACTTTAGCTAATGAGCACGCCGTCAGATTGAAAACCACACGTTCATCCATCTGCATGAACCTCCTCCTCTTCTTCAGTTACATAAACTTATTTATTGTCCAATAAGAGAGGGGGGTGGGGGGCTTTATAATTTATGTTAGAGATTTCCAAACTCCATATAGAGTGAAGTCGAACCAACAAAGACATTTTTGTGCTTCCTGCAGGATGAAGGAGCTGATTTAGCTTCTGGTGGAGTAACTGAGCCTATGGTGGGTGGAAAACTCCTGGGAGAACTCCAGAACCATGAATCCAGCATTGAGGCAGATTTCTTGGAAGAAGAAGAAAAAACTTACACTCAGCTTTACTGCTATATTTTCTCCTTCCTTTCTGTTTTTTCCAATTTTAAGTTCTCCTGCTGCTCATTCTGCGCTGTAACCATTGGCACAAGAGGCAGACTGTCTAAACATCGAGAAGAATGAGGTCACCTGATGAAAAACTGCTTTTACTTGCGTCAGTCACCTGTCAAAAGTCATATAACACCAGCGACTGCATGTGTAAAGACAAATAGGCGACCTCTGACCCCCCGCATGGATTACATTTAGGTGGATATCAGTTTATGACGTGGACACAGACGAGACCTTATCCCCTCGTATGCAAAATCTTTCTCAGAAAAGCGGAATGATTGGCAAATAAACAGTAAATATCTTGGGTTAAGGGTGAAAAGTAATGATTTTTAACAGGTTTAAAATGTAAACAGGGTTTAAAAGAGTGGAAAATTGAAACAAATTTACAGGTACCTTCTGAGTCGGCTTCAGTTTAATTTATGAGGGATGCACTAAACTTGGCTTTATGGACGGTGAGGTTTACCGCTGCCATAGATCAATTATCCTTAAAAAAACAGGAAACACATAATCCGGCGTAAACCTCGGCGTGGCTGTAGGAGTGTGTGCAGAGTCACTGAGTTTGTGGGACTGATGTGCATCTGGATGTTTGTGTATCTAAGCGCGATAACATCAGACCCCTGCGTAGTGAGCTTTGTCTCCTGCGGATAGACCCCAGCGCAAAGAAATTAAAACATTTCACAGCTCGGTGTCGGTGCGTTCTCTGTGGCGTGGAGTCCCGCCAACTGGATACCCTGGCGCTCTGAAAACCACAGAACACTCCAGCTTGGCATGCTGGATGGCATGGCTGCCAATTACGAAAACATTCAAATCAGAACTTCCTGGAAAACCAAAAACCACGCTGTGGCAACGCTGCAAGACTGTTGGTGACATGCGAGCTGTAGCTGAAGTTTGGGGATTAATCAAAACCTGAAACGGATTCAAAATCAACCAATATCGGTTTTAAATTAAAGGAAAAACTGGAAAATCTTGTGGAAAACTAAAGAAAAGTTTTCTGTGAAGATGCAGCGTGAATGCTAACAACTCAAAACTTGCTGATCAAGCTGAAAATTAAAAGGCAAAAAGTGACCAAATATTGGCTAAAAATGTAAAGCACATATCAGCCAAAACCGACTAAAAAACAGTATCTAGAAGTTAAAAGTAGCAAACAGCAAGCCAGAAGGTAGCAAAAGGTTAGCTAAAAGTTGCAAATGGCCAGTCAAAACAAAACGCAGCAAAAATGTAGCAAAACATTAGCTAAAAGCTAAAATTGTAAATAAAAACTAGCTAGAGACATCAAAATAGTAGCTAAACTAAGACTAGAAAAACATCTACAAGTTAATAACAGTCTGCACGCAACATTTTTACCTCATTCATAAAACGCTAAATTCTGGGACTTTTCCGGGGACAGCTTTAGCAGGGGACAGGTCGTCCAAAACAGGGACTGTCCCCGAAAATTGGGGACGTCTGGTCACCTCAAATTAAACAAAGCATGAAGTGAGTGAGTAAAAATAGCAAAGGGTTAGCTAAAAGAAAAAAGCAGCAAAAAGCTGATTAAAAGTTGCAAAAGGCTAGCAAAAACAAAAAGTGGAAATGATTTTCTAAAAGCTAAAAGTAGCAAAATGATTGATAAAACAAACAACAACAAAAAAAAACACTAAATGTTAGCTGAAAGTACAAACCGGATTCCAAAAAAGTTGGGACACTAAACAAATTGTGAATAAAAACTGAATGCAGTGATGTGGAGATGGCAAATGTGAATATTTTATTCGTAATATAGCATAGATGACAGATCAAAAGTTTACTCTGAGTAAATGTAACATTTTAAAGGAAAAATATGTTGATTCAAAATTTCACAGTGTCAACAAATCCCAAAAAAGTTGGGACAAGTAGCAGTAAGTGGCTGGAAAAAGGAAATTGAGCATATAATGAACAGCTGGAAGACCAATTAACACTAATTAGGTCAATTGACAACATGATTGGGTATAAAAAGAGCTTCTCAGAGTGTCAGTGTCTCTCAGAAGCCAAGATGGTAAGAGGATCACCAATTCCACCACTGTTGTGCAGAAAGATAGTGCAGCAATACCAGAATGGTGTTACCCAGCGTAAAATAGCAAAGACTTTTAAGTTATCATCATCAACCGTGCATAACATCATCAAAAGATTCGGAGAATCTGGAACAATCGCTGTGCGTAAGAGTCAAGGCCGTAAAACTCTACTGGATGCTCGTGATCTCCGGACCCTTAAACGTCACTGCACCTCAAACAGGAATGCCACTGTCAAGGAAATAACAGAATGGGCTCAGGAATACTTCTAGAAAGCATTGTCAGTGAACACAATCCACCGTGTCATCCGCCGTTGCCAGCTGAAACTCTACAGTGCAAAGAGGAAGCCATTTCTCTCTCTTCAATGCCAGACCACATTCTGCAGCAATCACAACATCATGGCTACGTAGGAGAAGGATCCGGGTACTGAAATGGCCAGCCTGCAGTCCAGATCTTTCACCTATAGAGAACATTTGGTGCATCATAAAGAGGAAGGTGCGATAAAGAAGGCCCAAGACGATTGAACAGTTAGAGGCCTGTATTAGACATGAATGGGAGAGTATTCCTATTTCTAAACTTGAGAAACTGGTCTCCTCTGTCCCCAGTCTGTTGAGTGTTGTAAGAAGAAGGGGGGATGCCACACAGTGGTAAAAATGGACTTGTCCCAACTTTTTTGGGATTTGTTGACGCCATGAAATTTGGAAACAGATTTTTCCCTTAAAATGATACATTCTCTCAGTTTAAACTTTTGATCTGTGATTTGTGTTCTGTTCTGAATAAAATATTAGATGTTGGCTCCTCCACATCATTGCATTCAGTTTTTATTCACAAATGGTTTAGTGTCCCAACTTTTCTGGAATCCGGTTTGTAGTACGGATAACTGTGAAAGTAGTGAATGCTAATTAAAAATAGCAAAATAGTTCAATTAAATTCAGTTTGTTTATATAGCGCCAAGTCACAACAGAAGTCGTCTCAGGTCACTGAACAGAAACATTCATATATAAAATAATAATTTAACATTATTAGACTGCTTTAACTTCATCACAGAACTCATCTTGAGCAAGCATGACGGCAACAGTGGAAAGGAAAAACTCTCTTGGAGGAAGAAGCCTTTAGCAGAACCAGTCAGGACAAGCGGTCATCTGCTTCGACTGGCTAGGTTTGGTAGGAACAGATACATAATGGCAGGTCAAGAATCACACAAGATAGAAATAGTATCAAATGAAAACTAAATGAAAGGTCTGCCTCCCATTG